CTCCGGGCCACCCTGGCCTGCAACCTGTGCACCAAAGATGCGTGGGAATCTTTCCGGCGCAGCCCACCGGCACAAGAGTTTTCAATATCTTTGTTAAGGGAGTTTTACACTCCAGCTTTGGGTGGCATGAAATCAGTGTGCCAGCCAAACTGGAGGGTACAGCTGAAACTATCCTGCAATGATTTATCCGCACAAAGAAGCAATTTCAAGCCAAGGTTGCATCCCATGTCGGTTCTGACGGATTGTTTTTTCGAGCATCTTGCATCCGATTCCACCCCTCGTCCATCTGTTTGGCGGGTGCCTCGCAGTGAGGGAGAAGCGGCCTGTGAATATCACAAAAGAGCCTTGGAAAAAGCCCGTGATGAGAGCGCTACTCTCATTATCAATTAGCAAGGTTGAAGGTAGGAAAACAATGGCCTCAGGAAATTGTTGGTGCCGAGGTTGCCTCTATTTCTGCTTCCCTTTTCAGAGGTGGTGGTAAAAGATGTGACTCCGTCGCTTCATGGCGCCCTGCACACACTCCGAGCAGTCGCGTCAGAAAAGCAGGTTGATTCAGGTCCACGCAGTGCACACACATGGCGTCCAGCAGCCACGCCGGCCAGCAAGCAGCTTTTTGGAGCCGTATTTGGCAACGTGAAAAACCATCAGCGCAAGAGGCATATCAGTATTGGCAACAAAATGTCTCCAGGAGCCCCAACCTCCCACGGAATGACTTCACCGCCCAGGGGCTTCGCGGGTGTTTGCTACGGTGGCATGAAAGAGCTGAGGTGCCGCAGGTTTGGCGTTCCATTGAGCAGGTTCACATTCACAAGCCTGACAGCACACCAGGAGCCTCTGATGGGGCTTCTGCTGCTAAGGATGAGGCCAATTTCGATTCAAAGTGTTGTTTGAGGGGTTGTGGACAGTGTATGGGCCCAGAGCCCTTCCACCAGAGCCTGGATTAGATCTTGGGTGCGTTCGACCGCATTCGGCGGCATGAAAGGCCGTGACGTCGCGCAAGCTGTTGATTCCCTGTTGCAAGAATTTGAAAACAACTGCATTTAGGTTTCTCTCGATTCCCAAAAATGTTTCGATTGCATGATTTCCATGCTACGGCTTTCATTCAGATTCATGTGTGATTTCCTTCCAAGCTCAATTTCTGTTGATGTCTCTTTACCTCAGGGTGATGCCTTGAGTCCCATCACATTGATTGCAGTGATTACAGGGTTCACCACCAAAGTATTGCCGCAAGAGCCCGAGCGGCACGAGTTGGCAACTTACACGATTTCAAATCTCTGACTATCAGTGAACATACATTTCTTCTATCAGTGAGGATTGGTGCCTAGAATGGGAATTGATGCGATATTGAAAAAAACTGGTAGAACTGGAGATGGAGACAGAGAAACAACGTGGTACTACCAGTTAGCGCAAATCATGGTGCCTGTGTTCCCAACATATTGTTTTCCTTGGTCCAAAACCATGACCATGAAGTAAACGAAGCACTTCGCAAGGAACAAAATGTTGACATCAGTGAAATCCACAAGTTCAGACTGCAATGCTCTAACTGTGTCGAAAGTTACTTCGGCACTGATGTCCCAGGGAGCACCTCTCTTGCTAGTGTTCCTTGGCGCGCTTTGCGCGTTGATCAAGCTGACCTTTAACACCAGCAACCACATCCTCCTGAGCCTCGCAAATCTTGCTCTGCTTCTCGATGAAATCGTTGTACTTTGGATGACAGAAGTTTCATCGCCAGATCCCCAGCACAAGCCTTTCGCTTGTGGCAAGCTTGGCAGATGGTCTCTGCCCATGTTGGTTTGCGAGAAAACGAAGGAAAAGTCAAAGTTGTCCCTCGTAAGAAAGCGTGGCAGCAGCAACTCTTGGATGCAGGGTTTTCAGCTCACCATGTTGTTGCCTCCACTAGAGTTTTAGGCATAGATTTTCATGCTAGACTTGGTGGCTGAGATAAACAAACGCAAGACAGTCGCTTGACTGCAGCCAACCATCGACTCAAATGCATCGCGTTTTTGCCTGTGTCACTTGATCGTAAAGCTGGTTTGGTTTCTAGCCTCCCCTGCACTTTTCTTCATCTTGGCTAGCCATGGACTTGAACCGCATTTCAGTGGTGGCATGCAAGCCTTTTCTAACCTGGCTGCGGTGGTCAGGCGTATAGCCCTCGGCCTTGGCCCGCTCGGGTTAGGCAAGGCACATGGCTTGGCTCTGTCAATACTTTTCTGTGTGACTTAGGTTGGGAAGTTCTTGGGGGCTGGCGTTGGCAGCACCCCAATATCCAACAGTGCTGCATTGACCTCAATCATCAGCTTCCTGAGGATTCCCGTTTAATTGAGCAGCATGCAGTCAGAGAGAGTTGGCGCCGTAGGCAGTTTGGCGCGTTTTTGGCCAGTGGTCGCAGAGATGCCACTGCTGTAGGATCTCCTGAGATATGACGAAAGACGCATGACACTTGTCCGTAAAATAACCTGGAGAGACCAGAATGTCCACGGCCGCGCTGTCATGATGGGTGGCGTTGTTTCCGACGCCAGGTTTGATAGGACCCGAGGTTTTGACATTGAACCATGTGCATGGTGTGGCACGGCTGCAATTCCTTCTTGGGAGCATTTGGCTTGGTTCTGCAAAGGGTTTGAACAATCGAGATGTGCGGTCCCATCTGATCGCTTGCAATTTGTCCTTGGATGGCCCATTGGCAGCTGTCGATGTTACGATGCTGCGGTGCTGGCTCACTTATCTGAAGTCCGACCTGCTATTTTGGATCGGCGTTACCGGGCTTCCGGTGCTTGAGGTTGACTTCGTGTTGGCAGCGTCCTTTTGGGCCTGTTGCATGTGCAATTTCAACCATCCATGGTACCGCCCAAACCTTTGGGAATAACATGGAAGAACTAACTATATATAAACCATCCATTTCTTCCTTCCCTCTTGGGGTGAACCTTGGGATTGTCCACGGCAAAAAACAGCGAAATTTCTTCCAAGGTATCGACCAGTCATTGAGGGAGCCTTTGCAGCGATTCGCAACGATCCTTGGCACGGCTTTGGATGTTGATGTCGGCCCCAGCTGTGACCAAGACCCATGATATGACATATGTTTTTAATGTTTCCTCATGGTTGACTGGTGACATGGGAAATAAAAGCATGTCAGGTTTAATTACATATCTTTAAGCGGGGCTGTCCTACTGGTTGGTTGCATGTAGTAAGCCGTTTGGGCTGGGAGACTTTGGAAGTCAGTCTCCACGTGGTGATTGTTTCAAAACCAACAGGGCAAGTCACAGATCCTAGCAAGGCCTCCCCCCAATTAGGTTCACATAAGCAGTACCAGTCAGGGTTATTGGAATGATCACCCATGGCCACCCAAGTGGACTAGGTTATAACTCCTCCATGCCCCATGCTCGCAATGCTTCTGGTTTTTGCATCTTTTTGCCAGAGCCGTAAAGAAACCTTGCACGTAGGCCATGGTGGGGAAATTCTGGTCGTAACCTGACAGACAATCCGCCACATCATTGGGGGAACTGCCTCCCCATCTCCCCTGATATCTCCGAGATAGCAATGGAGAGACAGATATATAGCATATATTAGTATCTACTTGTATTATTTACTTATTTATATATATAATTATATGCATGTATATTTATATATATATATGTAGTAGATAGGCTTAATATTTTTACACACACACACAGAAAGAGAGAGAGAGAGAAAACAAAAAAAACAATATATATATATATATACACATATATATATATATACGTATATATATATATAACATACCTATTTATCTAATTATAGCCGTGTTTGTGGCTAAATCTTACATCTTTTCCGGTGCCCAGGACGGTCACGTCGTTACCTGGGGCAGCCCCGGCTGCGGCGGCGACAGCGGCTCGGTCAGCGCCCGGCTGCGCTCGGTCTGCGCCGTCCGCGCCAGCTGCGGCGCCTTCGCGGCGCTACGAACGGACGGCAGTGTGGTTTGCTGGGGAAGCGACTTGGAGGCCACCAACGTGCAGGACGGGGAGGGGAGGCTCGGGGTTGGAGAAACTCTGAGATATCTATTTTTATAGGTAATAGACATGAATAGACGAGATTGAAATCGATTGAGGTGACCAGGACGAATGATGCTTTTGTAACATGTTTTCAACCATGCAAAACAGAGTATGTAGTTACGCAGAGGTCATTGTATGTATAATTGTATGCAAATTTTCATTGCCAATTATATTTTTGTGTTTACACACATCTATGCACAAACATGCAAAATCTCTATATATATATAAATATAAGTATTATTTTTAAATAATATTTTATTACTTTATTTATTATTTATATACATTATGTGTATATATATATATATTTATTTATGTGTTTTTTTAACATTATATGCATGCATGTGTGTATGCTACAATAATTAATGCGGTGAGTTGCATCCAGGGGCACAACTATTTAGCTCATCAGGACCTGAAGGAGCTGCGATCTGTTGCTGGGACAAACCTTGACTGGGCCATTTTCAGACACAGTTTTGACAATGATGATAGACCATGTGATAGTTTATAGCTACCCTTTGTTGAGACAAACCCATGTAACATATACAGTATATATATATACACACGGGTATATATATATATACACATACAATGCATATGTATATATATATATATTTATATATTACATACGTGTAAATCATTAACAACCATAATAATATGGATTGGCAGTCTCAAAGTAAACATGACTTGTGTGATGGTTCGTTTCGATCAGGACGCATCAAACATCAGGTCAATTTGTTCCTATTATTTGTTCTTCCGGTTAAATCTGCACAATTTTTCTGGGGAGGTGCTTACAACGGGCTATGAGTTGGGATGCGTTCAATGTTCACGATTCCTGGTTATGCACCGACATGTTTTTTTTGCAAGATGTGGTACTTACTTCTTTTCCATGCAGCCCAGACGCTCAGAGCCAAAATTGAAGATTTGAAACACTGCAAACCATCCAGTATGTTTATGAAATGTTTTAGTCGTAATGTCAAGTATTGATCCAATTTTTCTTCAAACCCACAGTTTTATTGGTATATCTCTAAGAATTAACTGCTTTTGATACCTTTTTCACCTGGGCATTGCTGAAAGAGATACATATTCGCAGTATTAGTTGCTGAATTACCTCTAATATTGACCAGTGGCATTGGTGTTATTTGGCCACTGGCTCCAATCCACATTTTCACCCGCGCAAGTTGATGTTCATAGTTTTTTAAGCAAATTACAACCCAGTGTCGGGGCACACTTCCCAAAGCGTTCTGGAACTACGTGTGGGAATGAAATATTGGGTTCACCCAATGCCAGAAGCCTCCAATTGGGGATAGATGTTAACTACCCGTATCTATTGGTTTATTCGGGGTTTTGGCACATCATATGGTTAATCCCCCAATAGATGACACACAAACCCTTATTATGTGGTTGTTGGTATCCCCATGATCTCGAAAGTCGCTGGCATCGCTGGATGTTCATCCTAATTGTGGCAACATAGGTTCCCATTAACCAGGTAACTGACATTTTTTTATGGGGCATTCACAAGATGTCACAACTACAAATATTATTAATGTATACTACATCCCACTAATATTAATAATTAATAATTACTATCGATTTAATGGGGTAAGCCTGTTTATGGATAACTATCCTGTATTATCACCATAACACCCATTAGATCCTATTTTCAATCCCACTATTACGCCATTGATCCCATAAATCCCATGAAACCAGAGGGTAAACCACCATTCGATCCCATACTAAACCCATTTAACTCACTATTAATTCACCATTTTCTGAAATTAGCTCCATATAATCCTATTCATCCCATACTAATTATCACCATACTATTAATGGGTTATTAATAGGTAAAGTATAAACCCATGAACCACCATACTAAACCCATTAACTCGCTATTAATCCCATACTATATCCCATCAAACATCCCAGGTGAAGTGTCTCTACTCCAACCTTCGTTCCTTTGCCGCGCTTCGCCACGATGGCCGCGTTGTGACCTGGGGCTGCGACATCGCTGGGGGCAACAGTGCGATGGCAGCAGATTTTAACCATCAACAAAAAGGGATTTCATGGGGATTCAATGGGATTTAGTGGGATATTCATGGGAGAAATCATCGGAACATGGTAATCTATAAATGAAAGTTGTGAGTTCGCTGGGAAAATCATCGAACTATTGCTGGTGGGTTTTCCAGCCACGGTTGATTTCTGGAGGATGTGCGGGCACCACCTTGAACGGGGTCTCCGACCAGATTAGCTCTGCAACTTGGGGTTTTCGGGACTCTCATCCCATTCCAAAAGAAGAACCAATATCAAATACTTAAAAGAATGGATGTTGGAAAATGGATGTTGGAAAATGGATGTTGGAAAGTAGATGTTGGAATGGACATATACTTGAGTATTTCATGTTGCTTCAAGTTGCATGGGTCTTGTTGCCTTTGGGGCTGAATCCCCATGAAAGATGGTACAGGGTGTGTATCCTATGGGAGGGTTATGATGGTTAACAGGCATAAACTTGATGATATGCGCTTATGCAAGCTTATGCGCCATCCAAGTCATACAAGTTTCCTTTGACCGCCAGCATGACTCGCACTGGAATCTTCCAGGGGGTTCTCAAGTTTCAAGGCAATCACTGTAGGGAGGCACTGTTGATTGCGGTTTGCAACCGTAGCTTCAATCCGCAGCACAAACAAATCGTTGCACGCCGCAGGTGATGATGTGCAAGATGAATTGTGCGATGTTTGTGACATCGCAGCTGTGGATTTGGCATTTGCAGCCATCAGAAGCGATGCTCAGCTCACAGTGAGATGATCCAAAGGGAGTGCCAAAACCCTTTGGATCCCTTTGGTAATTTAACAATGTACATCAGTTTGGTATGGAAAATGGCCCACGTATGGATGATTTATCTGATTAAATACTGGTGGTTTTGCATAGCTATGTGAAATTAACATGGAGTAGCACATGTCCTTAGCATCCTAAGCTTGCATCGCATCATATCCCAGTATCGTTTGGCTTGTAATGAGTTGCAGTTAGGACGTATTTGGGAATTTCACGCATCCTCGCCATGGAGCCCTATAAAATAAGCCATCGAAACACGTTTGCTTAGCATTGATTCATATCTTTGTTTCTTTTAGGAAAGGGGTATTTCTATTGGGGGTTATTTGATTCATATGTATGTTTATTATTTGGTGTATGATGTTTTCATGTGCCGTTCTCATCCACCAATATGATCTACCATGATCTACCACTGGTCATCAGCACGTTTCAGGACGGCTCGGTGGTGACCTGGGGCAACCCGAAACTTGGAAGTAACATCAGTGCGGTGCCTTTGCCGAAAAGCTATTGATGATTGCGGCGATATGGATAGTATGGATCTATACTAAACCACATTATACTACAATATGTATATGCATTATATATTATATATATATATATGTTATATATTATGAATTATTTGTATATAGCGACCGACTTACAGTTAGAAACAAGTTTGGAAAAATAAACGTGGCGGCCACATGGTACCTACCCGTTTCTAAGTGTACACTTAGAAACCAAACAAGTCAACACTTAGAAACAAAATTATCATATTTGTCACTAACACTTAGAAACTACTTGAAACTACCCTAATTATTTCATTAACACTTAGAAAAAAACTATCATATGTTTCAAACTATCAATATTTTAGTCAATTTCCTAGAATCGTATCAATTTCCAAAAGATGCACACACACATGATATGAAAATCATGTATATGGTGTCAATGGCCATGTGAAACGTGTCTTGGAGTTGGAAAGACTCTTTGGGTTTCGTTACTTTCTACCGAACTTCAAGAACAAAACAAAGTACAAAGAAGATTGGATGTGGGCATTGGTGGCAGTCCATGATTTCTGCGAATGCGATGAGTTTTCCAGCCGATTTCAGCACGGCATTGTAGTAGCATCGGCTGACACAGGCTTTGGAGAAGATTATATGTTTGCCTGTAGATATGCTCACATGCGCACATGATATTTAATTACTGTATTTATTTGTATATATAGATATATACACATATAATGTATATATATATATATGTGTATATTATGTGTTTGTTCAGATATAGTGACCGACCTGCATTTTGGAGCAAACATAGCCCCAAACGAGGTTTCTAAGTGTTGAGGGCATTTCTTAGTGTTGTGTTTTTTTATCAACACTTAGAAACTGAAATTGCGATTTTTTTTGAAGTTTCTAAGTGTTTGCTCCAAAATTTTGGAAATATGTTTCTAAGTGTAGGCCGGTCGCTATATATAAGCAAATCCAGGATAATCTAAGCAAATCCAGGATAATCCAGGTTATCTGAAGATCGGGAATGAAACATCGTTGATATTGACGGAGCATTGAAAGTGATATGGGGATAGAACACCCGGTACTACATAATATCATTCTAATTCCAATCAACAAAACTCGGGATTTTCCAACCTGCTGAAATGGTAACCTGTCATAGTTTGTAGCGTAATTTGTGACGTTAACCTACAAGCATTTGTATGATTTTTGATTTGTATGATGTATCATGTACAGAATGATCACGGTATGCTGGAAGACGAAGCCTTTAGAGAGGAAGTGGTTTCGTGGGCTATTGCTCCAGGAAAGGTATGTCCCTGGCTTTCTCTAGGATAAACTCTATCCTGTCCGTGCTTTAATTAGCATCCCCAAGTACTTGTTTTAAAACCCCAAGTCTAGACGGTTCAAACTCAATTTAATTGCTTAACTGCCAGTCTTATGCCATGAAACCACCAGTTTTATGCGGGTGAAGCATTGGTTTTGATTCGTAAGTAAACAACAACTAAGGGATACCTACCATAAGGCTAATTAATTATGTATATATATATACTGTTTATGTATACATATTATGTATACATATGTGGCTGTCAATTGGAATGCAGCTTAGTCAAGGAACTCGGGCACCACCTTGTGTATCCCATTGTGTCCCCATTGCGCAACCATGTTTTGTAAATCAAACGTTCTGCGGTGTTTATTTCCTAATTAGCTGCTTTGAGAGCTACGATTTGCATCATGTTCATCATGTTCCATGTGTTCTGGTTAAACACTCAAGTTTTGGTTGATTTGGTTGTGCTTATTCAACCCCCATTTATAGACTCAAATTGTCCCGACATTATGTTTTCCTAATTTGTCTGGTTCACAGATACCGAAATAATCGATGTAGATCAACGTATTTCCCTCATAAAACCACCTTTCCTCAGGTGAAGTCACAACTCTTTGACGTGCAGCAGATCTGTGGCACCGCCAGCAGTTTCGCTGCACTGCGGAGCGATGGGCGGGTGGTGACCTGGGGACAAGCCGGAGCTGGAGGAGAAAGCAGCCAGGTGCAGGAGTGATGGGATTAGGAAAATTTCGTGGGACTTGGTGATTGTGTTCCACTAGGAAGTTGATATGTTTGATATATTTCACCATAGTTGTAGGGGCCTCATACCCCATGGAGGTTATACGGAATAATAAGCCTAAGTGCAACCCCAAGTTGCGACAAGAGAGGGCGGTTTAACCATCAAAAACTGGGAGCTAAGCATTAAGAATGGAGAATGGTGGCTTTATCATCAAGAATGGTGGTTAGATATCATGTAAGGGAGTTCGTTTTTTTTTTGGTGGGGGATTTGGATTTTCTGGTGGTGAAATGTTTTTGAACTTTGAGTTGTTTTTTTTGATATTGTTTGGTGTTTTCCCGGTTCCATTTAGTCATAGGCCTAATAGGAGCCTAGGGTAAACGAGCCGAGGGCCCGTTGTGGGAGGCTCATATATAAGGTCTGTGGAGTTTGCGTATTTGCTGCGGTTTTCCGTTATTTGGAATTATTTGGCATAGTTTTCACATATATATATAATATGTATAATTTTAAAAATATGTGTGTGTTTCTTATTTGCTCTTGCTCTTATTTGTTCTCTAATTTTCCTTCAATTGCCCCCGGGCGCCTTCACTCTGGGCTGTCGATCTGGTCGGGGTAATGATTCAGTGTTTTATGAGGCCTTCCCCCCCAATATCAAAAAACAAGGAAAACCACCCAAAAAGGCTGATGCAGTTTTGGACCCAGAGAATTTCCCAACCTGCAGATTCTATATTTTTTTATATTTTGTTTCTAATATTGCTGGGTTTTATCGCAATCCTTGTGACAAAACAGCAACAGCTCCCATCCCATTCCGCAGGACCAGCTCTACGACGTGCGTCAGGTGGTGGCCGCGGAGAGCGCCTTCTGCGCGCTGCGCTGGGACGGCCGTGTAGTCACCTGGGGCCGCGCGGACATCGGCGGGGATAGCGGCGCGGTGCAGAGCCAGCTGAGAGCCGTGGTGCTTTTACGGATGGGATGGGGCCGGAGAAAACCAGCCGAAAATGGTGATTTTAACCAGCAAAGATGGTGATTTCCGCTTGGTTATCGCTGTAACAACGAAAGACTATGGAGATTTAAATAAATGGATATATTGGCATCTTCAACTGGTAGAAGCTGGTGGGGTTTTGTATTGAATATTAGGGAGCTATAAGATATAGTTGGATATAGAGGAAAATATAGATGTGTTACACTGGAAAGAATGGATTCATCTTGGTTTTGCGAAGTCTACTGGTTCTACTGTCAAACAAAACAGGTGATGGTTTAATTGTTGCTTGATATCGGAGACTAGCCTTGTCAGTAGAATATGTTGGAGACAAAAAACGGGCAGTTGATTAGGCGCATGGTTTAACATGGTTTAACTAAACGGTTTAACCTTCAACTATGGGAGTATGACCATGGAGAACAAGGAGGTTCAGGGCAGCTGCTTTCAATTTCAATTTAATCTCGACAAAGCAATTCCTCAGAACGACCTCAACATAAAAAGCCAGTTTATGTTTGGGGAATCATTGCAAAATCTGTTTATTTTAGATTCAGAAAGGGACGCCACCAGGGCCCACAAATCACATACTTGCAATTTTGCTGATTTTTAGGTATTTTCTTTTTTATTCTTGCTGTTATCAATGACTTCTATTGGAAGGATATGTATATATGTATACATTTCATCGAATACACGTATCTATTCCATTTCCCTGAAGGATTTATACAAGCATGTGTTTCAGTGACGCTACTCCAGGGGGGGGTCGAGCAAAAAATAATATATATATATATGTATATATAGATATATATATAACGCTACTCTAGGTGGGGGGTCGAGCAAAAAAAAAAAATATATATATATATATTTTTGGCTCGACCCCCCCCCCACTCCCTGTGAGAAGAAAATGCGCAGGATGTGGCCAGTGGGGACTAGATCGATGCCAATGCCAAGTTAAAAAAAATGGAACACCTGGGGGCAAGTACAGGGGACACCTGGGGGAGAAGTAAAGGGGACACCTGGGGGAGAAGTAGGGATACACAAGGGTGACAAATAGGGACAAACAAAGTGGGAAACATAAGATAGAGACACTCAAAGAGGACAGAGTAGAGACAGACATGGAAGATAACAAACTAGGGACAGACATGGAAGATAACTAGAGGCACACAAGGAGGGGTACAATATGGAGACACAGGAGAAGGGGAGGAAACAAATTAGGAACATGCAAGGGGGTGAGGGGCAAAGTAGGGACAGATTAGGAACATGCAAGGGCACATAAGTGTTTCAGTGCTTCAAGAGGTTATGGTCCTAGGTATGGTATACAATATGCCTATATGCCATATAAATAGCAGTCTTCAAGTAGATATTGATGTCTCAAGAGCTCCTTGTGATATAGGCAACATGGATGTTGCATATGCTATGGCCATATGCTGTATCAGCACACCCAAGGTGCATATGTGTTTAGAATGCCACTGTAGCCATATTAAGTGTATATATATATATGTACATATATATATATGCACATATATATATATGTATATATATATACATATTTATATATATATATATTGATGAACTTGCATGTTCCTTGGTCTTACTACTGTTTGCATCTATGATATGAATGGTGCATATAAGTAGTGCATGCCAATACATACACACATTTCCCACATGTACTGTAATTCTTCTAGGACTGACTGCAATAAAGACTCTTTGGTTGCAACTGACTTTGATCATAAGAGTTGGCACATGGCAAGGGCAACTCCAACTTACCCGTTGTCCAAAGACAGAGGTCTGTCCTGCATATTTCACAGTAATTTGCTATGCCACTGCGCATCTATGCAGATACCCTGTTACCATAATTGTTTGGCTGTGCTTTTATGACAGGATGAGTAACATATGACAGGATGAGTAACACCCAAAAAGAATTAAGACTGTTTATAAAACTGGACAGAAAACAGCTATGACACAACACATTGGACTAGGAAGTGGCATCTCCCAGAATGCATTCGTATGGAAAGGGGTCCCTTCTCCATCCTTTTGATCAATACTCACTCCTGTTCTTAGCTCTTTGATCTATATACTGTATGAAAAGTTTCAGGTGTTGTTTGTGCTTCAGTGGGTGAATGGTTTCAAGCAGTATGCGAGCACATTGCCACAAGTGTGCAATAGATATACAGTAGAAATTGCAGCTTCAAACGTGCACTGATATCTAGAGGGTTGCTTGTGATAAAAGCAATACTTCTGTTTTGCAGATACCATAGCCATTTGCTGTGTCAACACATCCAAGCTGCATATGCACTTAGAATGCAACTATTTTATATGTACATTTTTCTTATATAGTACATACAGTTATGGAATGGGTTGCATGTAAGTCACCTATGCCCTTACAGGCACAAGTTTTGTACATTTTTTCCTGCGTATGCAATGGTATTCTTCCAGGTTTTAATGCAGTAACAGCTCTTTGCTTAAAATATTGGTTGATCACAAGAGTTGGCAAATTCCAAGGGCACTTCCATTTCCCCCTTGCTTCAGAAAAGGCGTTCCCTGCATATTCCATGGTAATTTGCTGTGTCACTGCAAATATAACGGCATACATTTTAGAATCATAAATGTGCTCATGATTGTGGGTAAAACTTAAATTATGCCAGTATAAGTTTATCATGGTTCACAAAAGGGCACACAACCAAGTAAAAGAAACACCTATGCAACCTTATCAAACAATTGTATCTATAGAATGGCAGCCTTGTTTTGTGCATCGATGCAGCAAGTTACCATGAAGTATGCCAAAAAAAATATTACAACTACTTGAGCAGGGACAGTAGATTGGAATTTGCACTTTCCTTTGCTAAAAGAGTTCCATTGGAACTGTCGTGTCAACCAAAAGGCGACCTGGCAGTCCAATAGCAAAAACCACCAATGCAAATACCAAGTGCTATGTACATATATATATATACACCGTCTTTGCAATAGCTGTATACCTAGGTAGTACCTATATTTTAATATACATATATATATATATACATGAAGTACCAACTGACATCATGAATCTGGCTGTATACCTAGGTAGTACCAACTGACAAATCCTATGAACTTAATAAATATCACATTGAAAGTATGCAGTAAATGACAAAAAAACACAAAACATATGAAAAAACAGAGAAAAACACTGAAAAACACGGGCCCTCACAACGTCCCACTCTCTTTAGATTTTCTAAGTGTTTTTTGAAGAAACTCGAGCAAATGCTCAGGAGACGTGGTGTCAATCTGCAGCTCGCGCCACGCGTTTTCAGCGTTGCGGGCGGATGGTCAAGTGATTTCGTGGGGCCGGGCAGATCACGGGGGTGAGATTCCCGCCTCAATGGCCTCCATGGACGTTTCTGCCATTGGCTGAACCAAATCGAGGCGGTGAGATTTATTTATGCTTCCAAGATCTTCCAAGCCCAGGATTCCAGTGGAAGATTGTTGAGATTGATGCTAAACGTTTCAACAGATATGTCAATCTCTGACTAAATGGGTGGGATTTAAACCATTGCAAATGATAGGTTTATTAATTCTAATAGTTTATTATTATTGGGTGACATTCGGTGTACCATATTGTGCCTTAAAGTGTTTGGGACCGTGGCAATGGGGCGATTTCCGATGGAGATACGATCTTCCCAAACCCTTTTTTTTGGAGGGGATGAAAGGTCATGGAACCACAGTAAAGAGTCGATTCGTGTTGGTGGCCACGGGCAACCTGGGAGGGAGAATGAAACGTGTACAAAGCCGTCTTCAGTGCTTAGCTGAAGGTGCCAAAAAATACCCTTCGGGCTTCCAAAAACCAACAGATTTGATGGAGCACATTAGAACCAGCAGAAAGTCTCTGCACTAGCTGCTGGGTATCTATATATCTATCTATCTATCTCTCTCTCTATATATATATACATACATGCATCTTTAAATTTATATTTATATTTATATTCATTCATTGTTTATTTATGTCTATATATGTAACTGTGTGTATGTTATGTATATATATACTTAAACATATATGTATATATTTATGTGATATATATATATATGTAAACAGGGCATATGTATATATATATATATTATACATATATCAATGATATGATGTGTATTGCTACACTTTTTTTTTTTAAACATATACGTAACAGGAATCATGTTTACATTAATATACGTGTAAATTTCAACAAACACGCATATATATATATTTATAATCATACACATATACTATTTGCTTTTCACATATTTTTTGAATTTGCTACAACAACGGCATCACCTCGCGAGATGATGGATCAACCATGGTTTTGTTGTTGAAGCCCATTGGGTGGATCGTCAAACCACTGCACCTGGGCCGCAGTGGCACACCGAGAACTCAGCCAGCCTCCATCCAAATTTCGTATGAAATCAGCATGGAGGTGCCATTCGGGGGTGCCCCACTTTGTTAGCTACTTAGTTGTAAGTTGATTTGAAGTGCTAGGCAAAGCGTTGGGCTAATGGCAGGTATATCTAAAATCTATAGTCAACTGAGTTTTAAAACCAGCTGACGGCAGTAAGGATGACAAGGGTCATGATATTGGAGAAAAAACACATGAAAATCTATGGGAACCACCCAATAGGTCACTACCTATATAACCAAATCAGGCATTGTCAAGGGGGGTTAGTGCCCATCACTCCGTTTTAGTCCTCATCACCCCCTACTATTGAGGATAAAGATAGTGATGATAGGAATGATGATGGCGACAACAGCGATGACACTTATCAGAGATGATAATCATACGGATTATGTCCGTCATTAAAACAATGATGATGATGATGGTGATGATGATGATGACGATGATGACGATGATGACGATGACGATGATGACGACGATGATGATGATGATGGTGATGATGGTGCTGATGATGATTTATGATGATTGTGATGATTGTGATGATTATTGGTGATGGTGGTGCTGGTGACGACGATGGTGGTGATGATCATGGTGATGATAAAAAAAGGAGAACATATGACAAATTGTGGTAAGTGATGGTAAACGATTATTCGCCACCGATATATGATGACAACGTATATGATGACAATGTATATGATGATGATGATGATGAGGATGTTGTTGATGATGATGATGATGATCATGATCATGACGATCATGATGACAAATATGACAATTATGATGGTTATCATTATGCTGATGATGTTGGTGTTGATGACAATGGTGATGTTGATTATGATGGTCATGGTGATGCTGATGACAATGGTGATGATGATGATGATGATGGTGAGGAGGAGGAGGAGCAGGAGGTGGATGAGGATGAGGATGAGGATGAAGATGATGATGATAATGATGATGATGATGGTGATGATGATGATGACGTTGACGACGACGACGACCACGATAATGATAGTGACGATTTTGTGAGAACAACTTTAGCACAGTGAGAGCAAGTATCATTATCCATGATATTTCTGTCCACGGAAGCATTGCCTTGCTACTATGCTACTACCGCTAACTTAGGGCGTCCTAAGATGCCAGGTAGACTAACAGTTACGCCTGTGGCCACACGAGCCTGGATGGAGTGTTCCATAAGGAGCAGAGCGAAATCTCTGCGTTGCCGTTCTCAGAATCCTTTGCGGGCCAAAGATTGCCAGCCCCTAGAAACGGTGTTGCTCCCAACATCCCAGATACAAGGTAGGTAAGATGGGTTGCAAAAAAGGTATAAGGGACCCACCGTCCTTATGCTATCATTCACGTCTGGTGGGTTGGAGCAACCCTGAGAGAAGCCTTGAAAGTTGGTTGGAGGGAACATTCGCGGGAAATTTCCAACAAAACTTGGATTGTCAAACAAATTTTTTGCTAGTATATAAGCATCGAACGGTGCAGTCAATGCTCCCTTCAACGCCAATAGACATTAGCATTTAAAGCACTGACATGTGGTGAAAACCGGTTTTGTGGGCGCGGCTGCAGAGTTTGGGGTGGTTTGAAATAGGTTGAATTTGCGGGCCCATTGGTGCCCCATGTTTGGACCCATCCAAAATGTTTGATGTTCTTGGAAAATCTTGGATATAATATGATATCAGATATCATCAAACATTTTATGACATTTGGACCCATCTTTCTTTCAATCCAAATGCTATAATTTTTGTGCAAAAGAGGATCATTCGCAGCGAACATCATTGATTGGATTTGATTCTCTGCGGGGTGATGATGATGATGATGATCATGATGATGATGATGATCCCCAACTGAATGATGTGTTCTAACATGGTTGGATCGTTACCCTAATTTGAAGATTTATGTTAGAATGGCTCACATGATGACACAGTAAAAACGGCTGGACGGTAGTACCCCCAAACTCCACCGGGTAATATTGTTGGTCCTTACAAAAATATGATAAATGATCTAAAATTGTCGCACATTAGTAGGCTCCTGCATATTCGGACGCGCGCAAACATCATATTATGGCGGGTACATCCAAAGATCTCCCCATGACATCCGCTAGAATGGCATGTTTGGTTCGTCATTTGAAGTCATGTGGCTCCACCTGCGGGGTGGGGGGGAAAGATCCCCAAGATCCCATGGGACAGTAAATCAGCTGGGGATAAACTGCAACCATTGGATGTCGCGGGGATAGAATCAACAATCCCTATGGATTCAAGTATATAATTACCTTCTGAGGTGGTTGCTTGGGGTAGAACTTGGCTGGCCAAGTATCTGTTCGGGAAGTATTTAGGTCCATAAGGAATAGAAATGAAAAATGATGACAAATGGTGGTGTGATCTTCTAGAATTGGGATTTGACCATCATCAGAACTATGAGGATTTAAGCAGTGAAAAATGGAGGGGTTCTCTGGAAATGGGGCACGCCCCAATACCAAACAATCCCCAATATCTGGTCATAAGAATTTTGATGGGCAACATGAGGTTGCGAACCATCAAATTTGGTTTGGTCTCGTTTGATACATTGAAATATTGCCCAAAAAACAGATCGATGAAAGGCACAGACAGAACCAGCAATGGCCGTGATACCACCAATAGCTGGCACTTACCACATTGGTTTCCCACCCGTGCGGTGGATGGCAGTCCCTCTGAGAAGTCGGCGCTGGTGGTTGCAGCAAGGGGCTGTGGCAGCTTTGGTGATTTGTTTGTTGCCTGTCATGAAAGCACCTGAGGAGGACGCAAGGATGGGAGGTCATTTCTATTCCAGGAAACCCTGTGGGCATGGCTTCTCCAAGATTCTTTTCCAGGATACCCTCTGGTTCTTAAACATAGCCATGGAAAATGGCCCATTTATAGATGGTTTGCCTTTTAAAAAAGGTGATTTTCCATGGCTATGTTAGTCATAACCAGATGGTATCTACTGTATGTCTACTTGTTCTGGATGGAGAAGTTCGTGCAAATCCAAGGAGATGGTGCAAAGGCAAAACCAGATCCACTTTGATGTCTATCCCTTTGCATATTAAGTGGGTATACAGTATGAATATGGAATGAACGTATAAATCAATATTGGGTATACTTAATATACCTTTTATTGATGTATACTGGTGGTGTGGTCCACTTTGATGGTATATATCAGTAACATAGACCCGGGCAAGCCGGCGGCGGAAGTTTCCCAAACATAAATGACCTATAGTTCAAAGACACCCTGTCCCGACCGTGTCCTTCCCTCGACAACCGTTTGATTTTTTCAGCGAGAGACGAAGCAAAGTCTTCACACTCCACACTTCACACTGCACTCTTCGCACTCCGAACTTGAAACTTCACACTCCACACTTCACACTTCACACTTCGCACTTCACACTTCACACTTCTCACTTCCCACTGCTTCCTTCACACTCCAAACCTCACACTTCACACTTCACACTGCGCGCTTCGCACTCCAAACTTAAACTTCACACTCCACACTTCACACTTCTCACTTCCCACTGCTTCCTTCACACTTCACACTTCACACACTGCTTCCTTCACACTCCAACGCCAGAGCAGAAAAAGTTGATTTTAAATAGAAAATGAAAGCAGCCAAAATCTGAAAGATCCTTTTTTTGTCACATGTATGCAATACGATCATGGTTTCTTGTGCGGTTCGTAACAACGCACACAGAAACGAAAATTAAGTGACACAGGCATTCTGCCGTCTGCAACTCGAAATGAAAGGCGAAGCTACTGAAGCACAGCAATTCAGACTCGGATGCGGTTCACAACAACGCACACCCAGCCCTCGGCAGTCAAACGAGAGTTGATCCCTCTGCGGCAAGACCACGTACTGTTGCTGTGCAAGATGTTGAGCCATTCTGCGCACTGAGCTTTGGTTCTGTGGCGACGCAAAGCGTACCAGAGACTTCGGCTTTCTCCAATGGCCCCAATCTGAACTTTTGGCGCTCTAGTCATTCACCACAGGTGGCTGCACACTTGCCGCCGTGCTTGTCTGACTCTCCAGCGCCGCCTCGACCATGCTGGACGCGGAACGCAACTTCGCACGTCCAGTTCCGGGAGGCAAGGAAGTTGCTACTGTGGCTTCTGTGAAGCCTCGGAGTAAACCAGCTGGTGACACGACGCGCAAGACTGACACAAGACTTGTTTTTTGCATTTGTCGCAAGTCATCTTGACGGTTTTCAAGTATAGTAAGCAAACGTGCGAAATCAATGTCCTCCGCCTCACTGCAAAGCCTTCGTTCCCAATCCATTAAAGTCGCTTTTTGGTCAGCCGTTACTTGCTTCTCAATCTTATTGTAAATTCTATAATACTTGGCTCGCTCTGCATTTGCTTCGTATCCTCTGGTGCCTGTCCCTGTCCGCAAGCATGCTTTCAAATCCGTGGCGTGCAAAGCCTTCAACACAAGCTCTTCTTTCTGCAAGAAACAAAGAAGGTCTTCGAACAGCGACGATTCCATGGCGCTAGCCTACGCGGACCACAGCGTCGCACGTACCCACGCTTCCGCGGACCAGAACGTCGCACGTACGCGTTGCGAGTCTACGCAGTTGCAAGGTTGTATCGTGTACATGCGTGATGTTTGTTGACACTTGTTCACGTAAGACGTTATATATGATGGCTATGTTGCATGCTTGCTATATATGATCGTGTTCTCACCGAATCGATTTATTCGCATGCATGACCCAAACAACGGCGGCGGGAACATGCACAATTCGCACACAGCCTGGCAGACCTGAAACTACACATGCACTGCCTCAGGCTATACAAAACGAGCTTTCAAAACCGGATCTCGATGCCAAAACGCAAAAATTGCATTTGCCAAGCTTTGGTGTTTGCAAGCAGCCAAAATCTGAAAACAATCACACTTCACACTTCACACTTCTCACTTCTCACTGCTTCCTTCACGCTCCAAACCTCACACTTCACACTTCACACTTCACACTGCGCTCTTCGCACTCCAAACTTAAACTTCACACTCCACACTTCACACTTCTCACTTCCCACTGCTTCCTTCACACTGCACACTTCACACTGCACTCTTCACGCCCCACACTTCACACTGCTCTAAACCTACGTGCAACAAAAAAACACTAGCGCCAAAATGGAGAAAATCTGCTAACAAATCCATTTCGCAGCCTTCATGCAGCCAGTCCAAGACGATTTACGAGATCCAGCTGCAAAAGACATTACGCATGCAGCCAAAGCAAGAAGCAACCTTGACGCAGCCATTCCAATGCGATCTGCGGAGACTGAGTTGCAAAACACAAGAGAACTACGCGCAATGGCATCGGAAATTGTAGCTCCAAAACCGGATCTCGACGCCAGAGCGAAAAAAAGACGATTTTGAAGCACTTTTTAAAAGATTTTTAGAAGGAAAATCACTAGCGCCAAAATGGAGAAAATCTGCTGACAAATCACTGTCGCAGCCTTCATGCAGCCACTCCAATACGATTTACGAAGTCCAGCTGCAAAAGACAATCGTATTACGCATGCAGCCAAAGCATGAAGCAACCTTGACACAGCCTTTACAATGCGATCTGCGGAGACTGAGTTGCAAAACGCAATAGATAGAACTACGCGCAACGGCGTCGGAAATTGTAGCTCCAAAACCGGAGGATCTCGACGCCAGAGCGAAAAAAAGTCGATTTTGAAGCACTTTTTAAAAGGATTTTTAGAAGGAAAATCACTAGCGCCAAAAACGCATTTCGTGCGAGACTTCCTTCAAAACTCCATCGGCAACTCATCCACCAGCACCACTTGCAATCCCATTTGCATTGCGGGAACGATCCTACAGTTGCAAATCACAATGGAATTCTGTCGACCGCACATGCACGAAAAACACTTGAACCCCCATTTACAATGCGGAACCGATCCGAGAATGATCCGACCATGATCCGACCACACACGAGACCGTCTCGCACCCGTCGCACCGCAGAGGTAGATCATCGACGTTCGGGGACGCACTTTGTATGGAAAAACACAGGGTTTCGTGCATCTGCTATCTCTCAAAAACGCATTTCGTGCGAGACTTCCTTCAAAACTCCATCGGCAACTCATCCACCAGCACCACTTGCAATCCCATTTACATTGCGTGAACGATCCTACAGTTGCAAATCACAATGGAATTCTGTCGACCGCACATGCACGAAAAACACTTGAAACCCCATTTACAATGCGGAACCGATCCGACCATGGTCCGAGACCGATCCGCCCATGATCCGACCACACACGAGACCGTCTCGCACCCGTCGCACCGCAGAGGTAGATCATCGACGTTCGGGGACGCACTTTGTATGGAAAAACACAGGGTTTCGTGCATCTGCTATCTCTCAAAAACGCATTTCGTGCGAGACTTCCTCCAAAACTCCATCGGCAACTCCTCCACCAGCACCACTTGCAATGCCATTTACAGTGAGGGAACAATTTCTTTGACGTGAACTCTTTCTTTGACTTTCTCTTTCTTTGACTAACTCTTTCTTTGACTAACTCTTTCCCTCACTAACTCTTTCTTTGACTAACTCTTTCCCTGACTAACTGTTTCTTTGACTAACTCTTTCCCTGACGAACTCTTTCTTTGCTACTACTCTTTCTTTGACTAACTCTTTCCCTCACTAACTCTTTCTTTGACTAACTCTTTCCCTCACTAACTCTTTCTTTGACTAACTCTTTCATATATCCTGACTAACTCTTTCTTTGACTAACTCTTTCCCTCACTAACTCTTTCTTTGACTAACTCTTTCCCTCACTAACTCTTTCTTTGACTAACTCTTTCCCTGACTAACTGTTTCTTTGACTAACTCTTTCTTTGACTAACTCTTTCCCTCACTAACTCTTTCTTTGACTAACTCTTTCCCTCACTAACTCTTTCTTTGACTAACTCTTTCCCTGACTAACTCTTTCTTTGACTAACTGTTTCTTGGACTAACTCTTTCTTTGACTAACTCTTTCCCTGACGAACTCTTTCTTTGCTAACTGTTTCTTTGACTAACTCTTTCTTTGACTAACTCTTTCCCTGACGAACTCTTTCTTTGCTAACTCTTTCTTTGACTAACTCTTTCCCTGACATTCTAAAAGTCCGTAACACGGAAGTTTCTCCGCCTAAACTTCTTTTGATAAAAGTATATTAAGTATACCAGTGGGTAAATGAAGCAGGATTGAACTGGAAGTGAAAAACCATCAAGATGTGCTGCAAGGGTTTTCTTTTCACGTTCAGTTCGTTTTTCCCTACCCGGTAAGCTCGACATGGGAGATGGTCGCTGGATGCCCTGAGGTTTCAGCTGCCCGGGCTCCGATTTGCGCCATGTTGGGTACCAGGTGGCCAAGAAAGGAACACTATTCCCTGGTTTGAACTACATCTCTGGGAATCTTTGGGATATTGGGATGTTAGTGAACAACATAGGGAACTGAGATGCCATCAACCATTTTTTCTAACGGTGCCCAGACTTCCCAGCATTTGATGCGATCTATTCCCGTGGTCGATATTGGATGCTGGGATGGTTTTTTCAAGGTTGTTCCAATGATGATACCCAAGGATATCCCAATTATATCACCAATTCATTCGTGATTTTGATTTATGTTGGTGTATTAACCCCCTTTGATGTTAAATCATTGATGTGACGACAGTTTCATGCGGTTTCCATATAGTTCCCATAGGTTTCCGTGTGGTTTCCACATGTACCGATCCCGCAAGGCGGCTATTTTGGCGACCACAGCCACCAACTCCTGCCTCGCAGAGGTGGCCATTGCCCATTTAACCATTGTGATGTTTCATGGAAATATAGGTAAATTAGGTTTTTATCAGGGAACATCACCATTCTTGATTTCACCTAGGCAAATATCAATGGGCCATTTTCCATTGCTACAAGTTTGGTATAGCTTAGTGGCCTTTCCATATGTTAGTTAGTTTACTGGAGGGTGCCATGTTGAAAACACAGAAACATGATTGGAAAACCATGGGAAACCGCTGGTTCCTCAAGGAACATGATCTACAAATGGTGGATTTCCATATTCCATGTCTGCTCCAGCCGTGTCAGGCCATGGTCACTTAGTTGGATGATTTGCCTCGAGGTAAAACCGGTGGCCTTCCAGGTGGTAAACTGTTGAGTTGCCAGTAGCCGCGTCACGGCACGTCGTATCCGGCAGGTCGTATCTTTCGAGTGCTCCGGCGCGCGGAGGAAGACGCAGGGCGACGCGATGTGCTGGCGGACTGGGGACAAAGTTTTCTGCAGACCGCAGGCGCTGGCGGCGATGTCGGGATGCAGTCTGCAGACAAAATGGTGGTTAAATACTATATAAAATGGTGAGGATATAAGTGGGAATTCATGAATGCAATGGGGATAATCTAATAATCCCCTCCCAAAAAGATGAAAAGTAAATGAACCACCCTCACTGGTCCCAAATGCAGAAATGCACTACTTGCTCTGCTCTTTCTAAAGGGTGTTTTCTAGGGGTGTTTAGTTTGGGGGGAAGGGATTAGGTAATTCACCAAATGATCAGTGGACCTGGAGTTGGATTATCATTTAGGAATATTCAGGATATGGCATCATGATCATCATACATGAGAATGTGTGTCCATTCATTTGGATACATTAGGATATTGGTTGGGAATGGTTGGGACATAATGGGAATCTAGCGGGGTACACAACCATCAATATGAGATTGGTTTGTTCCAAAATTGTGGGCTACCCCAGGCAAATTGAACAGGGAAGATTGTTGAAGTGGGATTTTGGGGCATATTTTCAGACAAACCTGCTGAATCCCATCAAATATGCTACAAAAGTGTAGTCCGATTATAGTCAGTTTGTACTTAACTTAGTTTTTTTCTGTCTTCACTGGGTTATGATTGATTACAACCATTTGTTTCTCTCCTCTCCAGTTTCCTAAGTGGGATGCACGTATAGGTGTTGAGGGCCCAACCGGCAGATCGGAATGGGCTTATTGGCCTGGAGGGTATCACTTGTCATTCATCCCTTGATTAGAAGGTTAGTTGGTGGTTCAGAAATGGCAGTGGGGGCAATACCACAAATATCAAAAAAACCAAGTATCACCAGGCCAGAAGGATTTGAGATATTTAAGACCCACATCCAACATGTTTTGAATAAATATGACATGATTCCATTTTCAGGCATACATGTAGTACCCACGATTTGCACATATATCTACATCTATATCTATATACCTATAGAAAACCTGAAAAGATCGAACATTATCACTGGTTTTGACTTGGATTTCATATGTTGCCATTCTCTGTGTTGTTTTTCAGGGCTTGCCATATTGAAAATACACATATCCCATAGATATTGATATGTGCATATAAATATGGATATAATATGCATATTGATTTATACGACCGTAAATATGTATTGATATTATATATATATTTATATATATATATATATATGTAGATTCAATCATCCATAGGTATCCTTTTTTTGCATTTATATCCAGGCACCGCGGTGGCGGCCTTCGCGGCCTTCTACACTGGAGCCAAGGTGGCCGTGATCAATCAGCCGCGGCGGCCGGAGCTGCAAGGCTGGGATTCACCGGGCAAAACATAAGGATTTCACATGGGTTTAACTGGCACCATTGGAGGATGAGGAGGATGATGATGATGATGATGACGATGATGATGATGACGATGATGATGATGACGATGATGATGATGATGACGATGATGATGATGATGTTGATGATGACGATGATGATGATGACGATGATGATGACGATGATGATGATGATGAGGAGGAGGGGGAGGAGCTAACCAACAAAAAAAGGAATATTGGGGAGGAAAGAACCATAAAATTGGGACAATAACCAGTGTACAACTATTTTTAGCTCTATTTTGGTGTTGTTCCAACATGTTCCAACCACAATTGCCAAGCTCATACTTGCCCACTATCCTACTACCAGAGTTTTCTGGTTTGATTAAAAGGAATCTTTTAATTTGTAGGTGAAATTCAAGGTCCCCAACCAGGTTTCCATTCGATTTGCTCTAACAATTTTCAGGTTAGCCTTGCTTCGCCAAAGACCGGGGCATAGAGTTTGTTTTTCGGTTAGGATTGAGGGATAACTTGGCTATATCCCCACACATAGCTGGATATATTCTGCGCTTGCAATCCGCTAACTGACTCCATGTATGCCCGGAGTGGTTAGTAACGGTTAGTTCACTAACTTCTGGGTTTAGCTACATGTTTGCCCAGTAGTTAATCCCAATATTGCTAACTCCATTATGTGACTAGTATTCCGGGTTAACACTTAACACCACCACCCCTCACATCACGGCCTCACATATCGCAATTAGGTATCCATCACCATGGCAGATATCCACGTCTCTCCAGGTCCCTTCCGTGCCGTGGGCTCCCGCGTGGTGCGCCTGGCCGGGCTCCGCTGCCGGCTGCTGTACCCCGCGGCGTCAAGCGACGGCGGCGAGGCGCCGTATCTGTCGGAGGGGCGGCAGACCTCAGAGGCTTGGCCTTGATCGGATGAGGCGACAGATCATGAGATCATGGGAAAACATGGGTACAATTTGACTTTGTCCTTTCAGAAGTGGGTACTAATGACATCTAATGACTAAATTACTGATTACTCATGTATTGTGGGAAGCGATTTTGTTTATTTTGTTGACAGGTATAAGGTATCTAAGATTGGCCATGTTGCATGTTGGGTTGTAAAAAGGTGAATGTGACCCAATAGACTCAATAGACAGAACTCCACGATTTGGGGTTTATCATTGGCTATACCATGCCCTACCCTTATTTGTGATGATGCAAGTTCACTCCCAAATGGTTTGTTACTGGCATGGCATGGTTTATCAATTTTGGTTCACCACAATATAAATATAAATGTGGTGTCAATGGGGAATCAGGCCACAGAAAGAGGGGTTTAAGTGCCTCAAATGAGGAGATACTGAAGCCTTTTGGAAACAAACGCTCCAATGGAAAATCCAATCTTACTATTTACAATTGCGATGTTTGGTTACGTGTACCAGAGCGTGCTTGAAGAGATTGAGAATATTGGGTGATATGAATGGGGTGAACATGGGTTTATGTCACAGTATGAGTTTGAGTATAGTGCGTGTAATTACGGGTAGAGTGTGGGGACATTGATTAAAAACATGGTATAGCAGAAAGTTCAAAGGTATACAGTTCTTGGGTGAACCACTTGGTGAATGTTTCATACCTAGCCTTAGGACTGGACGTCACTGGTCGTCCCAGAAGCTGTGGAACCGCACGGCCACCAGTTTCGGGGATTCATCCTGCAGGACCAGGAAATCTCAACGTGTAACTTAGCATATCTTAATAGAATATAATATGATATGATATAATATAATATAAAATATAATATAAAATATAATATAAAATATAATATAAAATATAATATAAAATATAATACATATACATCATATGATGTACGCACACACATATATATATATATACATCATAGAAATCTCAAAGCACCTTTTCATGAGGCAAACCCAGTACCATAAACAACTATACCATTTGGTGATGGTTCAAACCGAGCCCATTTATTGTGGACAATCTTTGTACGAAGGTGGGTTTGGGTTTACAACAGTAAACTAAAGCATTAAACTCCATTACATCCAATTTAAAGTCGACCTTTCATCATAATCTAATCAATACTACGGGTATCACTTGCGTATATATTCATATACGCACTGCTCCCACTAAAGTTCCTTACTAATTATATATATATATGTGTGTATTGTATATATATATATAATATGTATATAACTTCTTATATCTATATACACATCCCTCTATATTTCTCCCATGGCAGGTAGAGAATCCCTGCGGCGTTCCCCTTGCTGAGGACGCCATGGCGCGGCTGGTCTTTTTCCCGGGCTTCTTGCTGGAGCACCTGGGAACGGCCACGTCCGGGTGCTGGGAGGCGCCCCGCCGCTGGGGATCCATGGAGATATTGCGTGGTGATGTCAGGTGGAGATGGGAAACAAAGATGTCAATTGAGTTCCAGTTTTTTTCCCCATATGTCATTATATATATACAGTAAATATCCAAGTGTCGTTTTGTGCGTGTGCTTTCCATTTTTAGATAGACAGAAAACCAGGATGACTGGGTGATGTCCAGTGCGGTGGGGAAGATTACGCGGTGGATCCGAGGACAAGATCCCACCATGTCGAAGTGTCCTCCATCTGAAATCCTCAACTTCCCAGCCCAGCAGGTCTCTAAACCCTTACCCCAGTGAAACCTCGCTTCATCTTACTTCCTATACCACTTGGGGTTCTTCCTGGGCATGAGAAATATCCTGGTTGGTGGTTTGGAACATTTGGAATTTTACCATATATATTTTAATATTTTTCAGAGGGGTTGAAACCACCAACCAGTATCTATTGATGGAAGGATCGAAGGGGAGTTCTAGGTTCCGGACTGCCGGTGCCAGGACGCCCCTGCCTCGGCTGGATCACACCCCATCTTGGTGTATTCCCATGGCCAAGGAGGCGGCTCTCTGACGGGAAATCGGTCATGTCGTTTTCACCTGGTGGCCAACATAGAGATCTAACTAAAGCTTTACCAGACCGGAACAATTGCAAGGTATCAACATTCTGTATAGAACCCCAGAAAAAAAACAGAACAGTTGGAAACCTGGGAATGACAGGGGATACCATGTAATTGGGGGTTCTGGGTGGCTTTACTACTCGGATTCGGATGACCAGCCCCATGCTGGTAGGCAACATGGATATGGGCACCTACTTTCTGAGGCTCAGAGCTGGGGTTCTGGCGTGAAGAAAACGGGTTTGTGGTTTGAACATGGTTTGATTTGTGGTATTTTGATGTATTTTGAGTTTAGTCCTTGCAAACATGTTCCACTACCTCGCCAATATGTGTATATATATATAAATATATATATACACATAATAACATATATTGTATTATAAAGAGAGGTAGATAGATAGATAGATAGATAGATCGATAGATAGATAGATAGATAGATAGGGATAGATAGGGATAGATAGGGATAGATAGGGATAGATAGGGATAGATAGGGATAGATAGAGATAGATAGATAGATAGATAGAGATAGATAGAGATAGATAGAGATAGATAGAGATAGATAGAGATAGATAGAGATAGATAGAGATAGATAGAGATAGATAGAGAGATAGATAGAGATAGATAGAGATAGATAGAGATAGATAGAGATAGATAGAGATAGATAGAGATAGATAGAGATAGATAGAGATAGATAGAGATAGATAGAGATAGATAGAGATAGATAGAGATAGATAGAGATAGATAGAGCTAGATAGAGATAGATAGAGAGATAGATAGAGAGATAGATAGAGATAGATAGATAGCGAGATAGATAGAGATAGAGAGATAGATAGAGAGATAGAGAGAGAGAGAGAGATAGATAGATAGAGAGATAGAGATAGATAGAGAGATAGATAGAGATGGAGATGGATAGAGATAGATAGAGATAGATAGAGATAGATAGAGATAGATAGAGATAGATAGAGATAGATAGAGATAGATAGAGATAGATTAGATAGATAGATAGGTAGATAGATAGATAGATAGATAAATAGATAGATAGATAGACAGACAGACAGACATATAGATAGATAGATAGATAGACAGACATATAGATAGATTAGATTAGATTAGATTAGATTAGATTAGATAGATAGGTAGATAGATAGATACATCTATTTGACGTTACTTTTTGGGATTGAAACCAGCAAACTTTTTGTTTGAGTGGTCGATGTTTTGATTTTTCATACGCTTTTGGCCTTAGTTGGTGATTTGATATTCAAGCTGCCTGGTGCTTGTGGTGTTGGAACTGTTCTTCACTATGCTTCTTCGGGATACCACTCTCACAACCCGCAAGAAAAACACATCATAATTTTTCATTTGTTATGTTTTGTGGAGACGGTTGGGTACACCACAGCCAGTGGTAGCGTTTGGACCGGAACTGTTTTTGCCATGCCAAACTGTCATGCCCTCTTTGGGCGCTGCAGGCAGATTGCGAGTTACGGACTGATGCTCGGCAAAACGCTGCAGTTGCCTGGATTTGCTGAGTTTTTTTCCCAGACCTGGAAATGCGGTGCTTAATTACAGGATGTGGTAAGCCACCAAAGAATGGTGGATTTAACCATCAAAAATGGTGGTTTAACCATAAAATATGGTTTGTTTAGATCGTTTAGCACATCTAATATGTTCTTTTTTAATGAGTAGCAGCACCCAATCTCTCAACCAGTCTTTTCATGCTAGGGATCCTTTCAGCAGCTCCCTGGATAGCCTTTGTCATGTGCAATCTGTTTTTTGTGCTATAATCCCACCAAGCATTGACATGTTCTCTTTGTCGGATTAGCCTATGTCAATCCCCGTAAATTGGGAGTTCATTCTGGCGACACCACATGGGCGGTGATATTTTGAATTGGTTGAATCTCTCACTTCTGATCAAAAAAAATAACTGAATGCATCTAGACCCTAATTTGTGTGCATGTTTGTTATTTTTTTGTTTGACCTCTTCTACTTTTTGTTGGCCAATCTCGGCAAACAACCATGAATGTCCAGCTTGGCTGGTGAACTCCATGGTTTTACCACGAATCCCTAGGAGAACCTATTAGTACTGGTATCCATTAAGCATGTCTCATTATATCACCCATGAATAGCCATGATATAGTGGCTTACTAAACCATGATATTAGTTAAATTCAAGTGTTCTAGATGGTTAAATCCACATTTCTGACGGTCACATCACTATCGTGGATGGTACAATCAGAGGTTTAGGCATATGGCCTACCAAGCCATCCTTAAGGGATCTCCATCACTTCGATGGGCAGATTAGCCACCATTTAGAGAATGGGCTCCAAACCACGAACTATCCCAACTACAAACCATTTATTAAGCTGATTGGTGGTTTGGAACATAATATTTATTTTTCTCTATATTGGGAATAATCATCCCAACTGACGAACTCATATTTTTCAGAGGGGTTGAAACCACCAACCGGTTTACGAAGTATAGTTAACTAACAAACCATGACCCATCTAAATAGCTTTGTTTTATGGCTTATTTAGTTCCATAGGATTCCCGTTGATGGCTAAATCCCATTAAATCATATTAAATCCTGTTGATGGTTGATTCCCATTACTATCCATATTTTTTGATGGTTGAAACCCATCACTTGTCCATTAAATCCCATTCAATCCCTATTTAGTCCCATTAAATCCCATTAAAAAATCAATGAAATCCCATGAATTTCCATGGCCCATCCACCAAGGATTGTACTCAGCGTGGAGCACCAGGACGGTTCAGCCTCCACAGGGGACAGCTCCAACCCGCGGCCCTTCAGCCTGACGGGGAACCAGCTGGGCGTGCGCTACCGGGCGCTGGAACTGGTGCAAGTGCCGGGGCTTTTGCGCCCCGCGGCCGGTTTTCATCCCCAACGGACTGGATAGATAATGGAAAATCCTTTCGTTTTTTTGCCACATGGAAAATAATGAAAATACGATAAAATACGTATAACCAGCAAAAGGTTATTTGTTTGGTGGACGGCCAAAGATCATGATTTCATCGGCCAAAATGGGGGATTTGAGCTACTAGTCACTAGCCCAGAATTGGACTTGACTAGCGAAACAAATTGGGGTTTAAGCGGCAAAATCTTGGGGTTTTAGCAAGTACACATGTCTTAGATATGGCAAACAACACATAAAAGCTCTAAGATCGTATTCTGGTGTGTAGCCAAAAAGAAACGATTGAGATTTGACGTGACATTTGTTGGATTGGAACCAGTACATTTCATGGTCATGTAAAAAGGATCGCCAGAAATCCTACAGAGTTGGGATGGCCATGGCTAGCGGAGCTAGCCATGCGAATGATTTGATTTTATGTTCCCTTGATGGGATATCCCATATTTATTTATCCCATATTTATGCGAATATAACCAATATACCATGGCATAGTTTGATTTTATGTGTCCATAATATTTGAATTGCGTTACTGTGATGGGATTCAAGTTCCTGGATTATGATGATTATGTTCGCATAACCATCAAGTTTCTCGCCGCCCAGGTGACGCGGGCTTTGTTGGCCGAGGGCCTAGCAGATGAACTGCAAGGTGACAAGAAGAACGTCCTGGTGGGAGGTCACAGTAGCTTGGTGCCAACCATGGTGTGGTAAGCACTGGCTGCCATAGTCACCATCCCATTAGCCAACCATGGGGGGTCATGTTACATCCCAAATGGGTGTATATAGCATACATGTGTATACCAAATGTGTGTACCCAAGTTTGAACCTCTGTTGGGGATGGTTTATTACTGGGCATACCACATTGCATAGTGATATAACCCCCAGTCATAGATAGAACAGTTGCACTCATTGAAATTATGGAAAAAAACGCCATCGAACTGTTGAACTACCAACCCGGAAACACTTCTCGGCATATTGTTCGGGGTTAGTGGTACAATATCGGTACAATGGGGATATTTCCATTGGATAAGTGTCATCAACTTGATCTGGTTTTTTGGGTGCATCTGAACATGGGCTGTATACCCCCTCTGTACATGGGAACACTGTGGTTGGTACAGGTAATGGGTTTTGTTCCTGCCCATTTTGATGGGGAGAGCTAATGCCAAGCTCATTGTTTTACTTGATCCCCGAAGATTCACAGTGGTGTCAGACATCTTATTGCCAGTCATCATGGGATATATAGAGCAATGTATCACTGTATCACCCGCCAAAAAACATAGACATTAGACATTGCAAGTTTTCCAAGGATGCTGCCCGCTCAATCACCAAAAGATTGGTTGTAACCAGCAAGCATGCAATCTAAGTTGGGATGGATTTCTGCAATCAACAGCTGCTGGTGGGTGGTTCCTAGAATTTCCCAGTATTTGATGAACCATTTTTTTTCGGAATGATCATTGCCCCCCCCCCCAGGGGTAAACCAAACTTTCTTGGGACGGAAGAAGCCACCAATCCGGTACCCCCTTTCTATGGCGAGGATCTTCCTCGCAGACACTTTTACACAACTCTTTTGCACGGGAAGATGGGACCAACTTGTAGCTCTTGATGTGTTTTTTGGAACAAGGATCCCAAGTAGCACCCATATAGTGTCAAGGTCAAGTATATGGTCAAGGTGAGTAAGGAAATATGGACGGGACATATTTGCACCTAAAAGCACGAACCTTCAAGACTCCCACACATAGCAATGAGCCTTTGTGTCGGCATTTGGTTTGGGTTGGTGAGACGAATCGTTCTGGCTTACAACGTGTTGTTTGAGCCATGTTTGGTGGCATCGTTGTTATATATATATACTGATGGATTGGTACAAGGGGAACACAAATACAGGAAACCATGTTTTTTCTTGACCCCAAAAGGATATACTGTAGCTGGTTGGTGGTTAGGAACGTTTTTTTTTCCCCATATATTGGGAACGATAATCCCAACTGACTTTCATATTTTTCAGAGGGGTAGGTCAACCACCAACCAGGTATGCTGGTTGGTGGTTTTAATCGGTGATAACCAAGATGTTCCATTCTACCTGGGATGACGAACCCCATTGGGTTTTGTTTCCCAAACAGTTGTGGGTTTTCTGCAAGAAGTCCCCTGAACCACCCGCCCACCTGCCCAAAAAATACGGGGAAAGATAGGGCGGGTTGATCCCAAAGAATTAGTTCACCCAATGATAGCCATCTAAAAAAAACATCATTGGGAACCATTGATATTAATTTTTTAGTAAATTACTAAACATCGAGTGAACCATTACTAAATATTACCATTGATACCCATGATATAGAGTTACAAACCATTTACTAACTCTTTCACTACAGTACAACCAGAGATCACTTGGACTTCCAGGCTACGGTGGCCCCACAGCCATCCTAGCAGCGAACGCAGCGCCAGAGCTCTTCAGCGCTTTAGCGGCTCTGATTTGTTTATCTGGAGGTTGCCGAAGCCCAAATCACCCAAGTCAATAGACCATGACTGAGTCTTGAAACAACCATGGCGACGACTAAGGATCCCCCATGACTTAAGAATCCCTCATTTATTGAATCCACAAATTATAACAATTGATTTTCAAAATGGATAATCCATGCATCTATAGCAGTACGATCCATGTCATTATTGAACCACTTGATGCACACACAATTTAAGATGTTCAATACACATACTTGGGTATATCATTACCGCGTCTCAGGTATTCGCCTGTTTGCTAAGATGTTTTTCCTTGAACACATGCAGTATTGCTTGAACAGAACAACCTTGAGTTTTAGAAACGCAACAGCTCTGTAACAAGACCTGACATATCCTCCGGTAATCAATCGTGGCAACGGAAAATTACCCATTTATAAATGATTTTCCCATTAAGACCTTTATTCATAGGGGATCTTCCATTGCCTCGTTGATTCCTAGAGGGTATATACCTATTTTAGACAACGCAGATCAATGAGGCATTTATTTGCAGATAGTGTTTATTCTATAACTATCCCATTATTATCCCGTTATTTTTCACAAGAATTATGGCCCACTAATAATACAGGATAATAATGGGATATAATGGGATATTCCCACATTTTATGGGATATGATGTAACAGTTACACAGTTACACATGATTTATGATAATCCCATAGGAACCTATGTGTTGTGCTCGGCATCGTGCCACCTTGCCCCAGGTCTTACACGATCCGGCGGTCGGATCAGAAATGCCACCCTTGACGCAGCCAGCTGCTAAAGCTGCAGCGACAGACAGACCCCCAGTATCGGCACGGTCCAGAAGTACTTGGGGCACCCCCGGTAGCAATGAAGAATCCACCATTTGCACAATATGCGTTCACATTAAAACTTGCAATGATAGGCAATTTCCAGCTAGCCATGTTTGATTGCGGGAGGGTTTATCCTGAAAATTTGGTTTAAATCAATTTTACCAAGAACATATTATTACATATGCAGCAAAGGTGAAAGATTATTTAATCATCAATAATTAATGTGGCAAACACTATGATGAACCATCCCGAATGACTTACCATAAACAGGTGGTATATTTATCCATGCAAAAAGGGATACTGTTATTGTTGGATTTATCACATTATTGACGATACAGTCAAGATGGGGCATGGGCCAAGAGTTTAGACACAAGATGTGTACATAGTTGAGTTTTGAGTGTGTGAAATCCTTTTCATCGAAATTGAGGTCCATGAAATTTGATTCTGGCCGTGCCCATGGATTCGAGGGGTCGTACCGGGAGTCACTTGAAGAGATCCAACTTTCTGATCACCCCGGATCAAGGTTTTCGCCATCGTTGGCGACGAATACGCTGGCATCTCGAATTTAGTGAGTCTCAGATGCAACAAAAACAACCATCAAAAAAATAGACAAGCTTAATCTGTGTAAAATATTGGTGCACGATGCTTTTCTACACAGATTATACTTGTGTAAACATTTTTTGAGGTACCTGAAAAATGCTTTACCAAGTGTCGCTTGTGGCCTGCGGTATTGTGCCACTCCAAAAAATCCCATTTTTAGTGGCCTGATCGATGGCAGTCAAACTCTGAGGTTTTTGGAAGGCAATCAGTAATCTGGATCGACAGTCTGCCTCCAGTGATACAAATCAGCACCACATTGGCATCACCACCTTTGCTCAAGCGTTGCAACTTTGGAGGTACATGTTTTCCACAATGGCAATTTCAATATCATGAAGCACATCCCACCAAGTTTAAGCATTTCACTTTAGGATACTCTTTGGTGGACGGAAAGTTCTATTTGCCTCTGGTTTTATTTGCACCTCATTTCCGCTGCTTACATCTTCATGCTGCACCAATGACAGGAAAGTGGTTCGCAAAGTGTCCGCGGCTTCCGGCGAGGCTGGTATTTTTCTGGGCCACATGGGGGTTGAACGGTCAAAAATGGTCCAAAGACCAACCGGAGAGAGGTGGTTCTTCAAGTGGTTGCCATATCCAGTCAAACATTGGTGATTGGCACATGGTTCGACAATGAGAATCAAAGGGATTGAGCCAATCAAGCGAACAACATTTAAGTTTAACCATCAACCACTCTGGGTTTCATCCCTGTGAATATCTTGCAAAGAGCCTAGTGATTAAGGATTTATAGCTCCAGTTGTAGCTGGGGCCCCTAACTCTAAGTGACCCTCAAGAGGCGGGGAAAACGGGGAAAACCCAGAGTGAGATAACTTCCAATTGATTAACGTATTGCATGCGTCGTTTGTCCCCGAATGTCCGAGATGTTGGCGTCAAGTTTGGATGAACGCAGCGAGACAATCACCGGTTGTTTAAGGAAGGACAGCAGGTAAAGTTGGTAGGTTTCCAGCTATTTGGGTATCTCACATGAGTGTGATTATATTGCCCTTTGGTGATCTAACATAGCCACGGAAAATGATCATGTTATGTCATGTTTATATAATAGGTAATTCATGGTAATTCAGTTTGCAACTGGGACAAGGGGTACCAAATATTTTCCCTTTCAGCCCATGAGGTTGCCACCTTGGTGATGCAGCAATTTGATGCGATTGTATAGTAATTTGCTGTTCTGTCACGTACATGTTGCTTCGTTTCAGGCAAACCCTATCTGTGGACGCGCCAGCAAAAACCAACAACTACAACTGGGGAATGTTCAAGTGCTATATTAGATTAATACAGAGTATAACCCCCAAATGGCTAGTGAAAAAGGATAATTGATTCATGTATTGATTCTGTACCAGTGGTTTTAGGGGTACCCGGGGTACCCTACCTCCACTTCGATTGCTAGCCGCCCTTTGGGTGACTAGAATGGAATTGGCAGAGTCACGCAGTTGTATGAATGAATCTTCGCTTTTCGCAGTCTGTAGGTGGTTACTAGCAGCGCTTCTCTCCAGTAAGAGACGACGCCCAGAGATTTGGGGTAACCATTGCTATACCAACCAGAACCCAACGAGTTGTCTCTATTTTTGTGGGTTGAAAGCCCTTGCCCTTTGCCATTCCATGGCTGAACAGCAGTTTCGGGATGAAGGTCCAGCCATGTTTGACTCGTCCCATCTCCTGCTTAATAGCACCCATGACTGTGCCAAAATAAATTGGGGTCAGTACCTTTTACCAGGTTTCGAAGTGGTATTTCAATAGTAGATGGTGGTGCCCCCTCCTCGGCCAAGTTGGTTTGTAAGTAACTGAACTGGCGGGGTTAAAGGCTTATGGCTTATGGTATGTTATGCAACTAATATGATATATTTATAACTTATAGATTTATAGTATTTTATAGTTAGATGGATCATTGGTGGATCTATAAACCAACACACATAGCTGATCGGGACACCGCATTACGTCAACCAGCTGTTTTTTGATGGGGTTTGAACAGGTGACTTGTACTAGGCCCCATTCGGATCACTAGGCGTACCACCTTGTGGATAGTAGGGAGCGGTGCGCTGAGCTATCGTTGTATCCATTGCATATAAATCATCTCATCGGGAGCCAAATAATGGTGCTACGAAGTGAGTTTCCCAACCAAATGATACTTACTTGTACTGTACTATGATTAGATTACTTAAGATATAGCATTTTATGTATGTTTTAGACATAGATGATGAGGGTTAAACCACCAGTTTTCGTGGTTTAATCACCATGCTTGAATTTTAAATCACCATCGGAGATGGTTAAAACACCATGTTTGATGCTTAAAACATAATTTTTGATGGTTTAATCACCAACTTGTACCAACTCTCACACCACCTTCCAACCTGCCATCGCATCCATGCCAGACGCGGCCGTGGGCGGGAGCTTGGCATTTCCAGGGCATCAGTCATGGCAACTTCGTGGATGCACCGCTATGGGCCCCTTGGGATCATGCAACTGAGAGCTGAAAAACCCACCATATTTACAAATGGCTGGCCCATTTCTTCCACCTCCAACGTTTGTCCATTTGTCACGCCAACCGGCCAACCGGCTTACTGCAGTCCTTCCGGCCCGGGGGCGCAGCCGTGGGCGCTATGGCGGCTCCAGTGCTGGCCTTGTTGGAAAAGGACCTCGATGACTGGGGCAGCGCGGTGCTGGTGAAAGCCTCGAAGGAGTTGGGCCGCGGGGCAGGGCAGAACACGGTCTATCTGGTGGTGAACCAGCAGAGTGGCGTGTATATCATGAACGAGGCCTTGCAGGACCCTGGAAACCTTGGAGGGATGGGAACTGATGAGGTGGGATGGGATCAAGCTGGCAAGAGACGAGTGAGTGCAGAGATGATTTACCAATTTGACTGTCCTTTGTAGGTGTCTCTAATCGAGCTGTGATGATGGTTCTGGAATTTCAATTTTCTGCTCACAGTGACTGGACACCCCTTGATCCAATTCCCCGTAAGGATCACAGACCCGCAGGAATGTGAAATGTTTGACCAGATCTATGGCGTTGGAATCATTGAAGGCACGCTGGTGATTGGTGGGTTGATGAAGATTGGAAGTTAGGATTGATGGCGATTTTCTTGTACAAGCTATGTTGAAATGACTGGCTTATATAGAATTGTACTGTACACATGTACACAAGGAATCCCAAACATGGATGGGTACGCACTAAAAGCAGCAAGAGTTGTGGATCCATGTTGGCACCCCTTGAACCATAACCATGTTGGGATTTGAGAAGGCGACATTCTTTGCGCTGAGAAGACTGCAGAGCACGCTGCCGAGGGTGCCCCGGTGTCAAGTAGCTTCACGCTGCAGCAACGGCACGTCTTTCGCGATAAGAACGAAGCAGGCATGCAAGGCGATGCTTGGTCTGTGTGAATTTATGATTATGATTGACTATGTCTTATCTGTACTCTGCTTGGTGGTTTTATTTTTTCTTCCCTATTTCAACCCTTATTTGTTGAATGTAGCAATCCACAATCTTCCTCATTTTCGAGTTAGCTCAAAACATGTAGCTGGCTCAATTTCAGAAGGGGTCATGTGTCTGACTTTAATGTTGTGCCGCTGTCTAAGCAGATTTGGCCCAAAACGTGGCTCCTAAATTTCTGGGCTGCAACAGGGGTACCATCTCTATTAAACGAATCATTTACTCATTTTTTTTTTGAACCGAAAAAAAACGGGAAAAAATAGACTCGAAAAAATTGAGCCAGCTATGTCACGTTGAGCTGGCGACCGAATGTGAAAGCTCAAAAATGAATAGATAATATTATTGGCCGGGATCATGACGGCACACCGAGCTGGCTCAAGGGCATGTAGCTGGCTCAATTGGTTTTTGTTTTTTTTTTTTCCGTTTTTTTTTGCGTTCAAAAAAAAATGAGCCAGCTACGAGGCGCTGAGCCAGCAACGAAGCATTGAGCCAGCTACGTGGCACTGAGCCAGCAACGAGGGAATGGTGAATCTGTACTGTACGGGACCGATGGATTTTCCGATGCAGCCTTTGCAGTTCCAACAAATCAAATTATTGATTAATTCTCGCACCATGTGAGATAAAATAGAAGACTGACAGCTTTTACATATGTATACATATATAACCCCAACCGTATAATTATTGTCAATCTGAGGCAACACCAGTTTTCTTGAGGGAGACGCGTACCCTTGAGCTGGAGGGAGGTTGGGAAAAGTAACTTTCGAATTTGGGAGGATGATTCCAACTGACGGATACTTTTCATGAGGAGAGAAACCACCAACTGGTGATAAGCAGATACTGGTTTCAAATATTGTTTCTTTCCACCTCTTTTGGAGATGATATTCCAAGATGACTCATGTTGCGCAGGGCCTGTGAGACTCTCACCAGCTATGAATGGTGCATGGCTGGTTTCCCTAGTGAAACAAACACAAGGTGTTAACCATCCGTAGATTGCATGTTTTCCACTCAGGTGTCAACTATTTTATTGTTATGAGAGAACTGACTGGAAAATGGTGCGCGAATGCTCGCGATGTTTTATATCCCATATCCCACCATGTTCCCATAGAATGCTTGGTGCAATAGGCCCCATGTTTGTTGATCAGCCTTGAACCCCCCCTGAAATCACCATGTTTATGGCAGTTCAATCCTCATTGAAAAAATTACAATCACCATAGAATATCCTCAAATAACCAGTATCCCCATGATTTATGGATATGTATAGCCTCAGTGGCACATGTATTAGGTTTGTGAGTCTGTCCCATGATATTCCCATGATATTCCCATGACGTCTTGATTTTTGTTGCTTTAATCCATCTAGTACCTCAATTGTTTCTAGTTATGCCATGTTATGCCATTAACCCTCATGTTTTTCCCACCATGTTTCCACCGTTTTTTCGTCCCAGGACATCATCGAAGACGGCGAGGAGCGCCTGGAGGTCGAGATGGACTTCGAGGACAGCCTCCGCACACTGAGGATCGCGGATGGCTGGCTGGCAGCTGAGGACACCAAGTCAGGTGCCGGAGGTTCCAGGCATCGTAACGTGGGGGAAAACAAGTAACCCCAAAAGGGCCCAAAAAAGGAAAGAACACTGAGGTGCCACTAGTAGGATTTTGAATTGTTTATCCTTTTTGGGGATTGCTAAAACCATCATGAACCATCGCACAATATCGCACATGATGATATTACCATGAAACATTAGTGTATATAATGGGAATGAAATGGGATATCTATGTGATTACCGATTACCCTTTGGCAATGACCAACGGTGACCAACAGTTGCTGTGGTATAGATGGCCCATGATGGCCCATCTAGTTCAATGAATTACTGTACCTATCAAAGATGATGTTTTTCAATAGCAAATTGTGTAATTACTTGGCTTTAGATGGGATCATCCAGTTAGGGATACTTGAAATGGCTTAAAGCATCAAAAAACAACCAATGTACGAGACACTTGGGTGATGAATCTCCCATGCGGATGACCACATCCCCTTCTGCGGGATGATCTCTGGTGATCATACAGAATATCCCATGGAAATCTCAAGTTGATCTCGTGGCTTTAGATTTGATTGCGTAGTTTTCAATACATTACATAGTTAAATGTTCCATCATTATTGTCAAACTATAGATCTAAGGAACTAGTCTTCCATATTTTGTGGATTTGTTGGTTTGTTTCTCTGCCTGTCCACACCAGGATTATCGTTTTGCGTGAATCCCCAGTTCCCCTGGATCCTAAGTCCCTGCTATCATCCCAGCAGGTGGGTCAAGGGCCCTCACAACAATCACAGCAACACAGGGTCACATCCCACTTTACTATTCATACTACTACCTAGCTCTAGGCTGTAGAGGTATACAACTTGCAGCTTACTAGTGTGATCTAGTGTGCATCAATTTCCACACTAGTGACCAACTAGTTAGTCAAGTAGGATCAAGTATAGGAGTACACCAGTTACTTGCTAGAATTCATACATCACTAGGCTATATCGCATTATATCACATATATATATATACCTATATATAATTATAAACATCACATCAGACTATAGGACCCCTAGGACCTCTGGACCTCGATTCCAGGATTCCTCTCGTTCAACGCCAGGTGAGGCGTTGCGTTTCTTCCAGGTCGCCAGCTCCCTGTCCGGCACCTACTGCAACGACGACGCAACCGTTCGCTTCAGTTTGAGCAGCCTCGGGGAGTTCACGCTGGCGCAACATCGGATGGCCATGCAGGGGAGATCCACGAGATCCACCGGATGCTGGGCAAAAAATGTAGGGACCATAGATGGGTCAAATTCATTCAAATTCCAAACCCAATGGACCATAGATTTTCTTTGGGGTGTTATGATATGTTATGATATGTTATGATTGTATTTTCCACTTTGCGGATTTCACCAGCGATATCGGTAAAAAATGTAAAAACAAATGATGATCATTAATATTACTGTAACATTCACCAGCAATTTTTGGTTACCCTCAATGCTGGTGTTTTTTTTGCCCAGGATTGGAGGATGGTCTTCAGCTCCAGGGTGTGATCACCAGCACAATGAACCTGGATGCCATGCACCTGGAGAAATCCGAAAAGGCCATCACTGCCACTGGCTGTGGAGAACTTGGGGGCGGACTCAACCTGTGAATGGTGGGGGGATGTGTTAAGATGTGTTAAGATGTGTTAAGTTATTGGCATAAATTAAATGGAGGACATTTAAAATTTAAATCCCTATTGTATCGATATTGCATTTTGCTAAACATAGTGCAGGTTGCTGCAGGGTCTTCGTGGTTGGTATTCATGTACTTTGACATAACGTCTTCAGCAGGAGTCAGGGAAGATGAGCCCAACATTTGCCGTTTGTGCTTCCTTTGGTCAGGTCATCTGTTTTGACAGATCTTGACTTGTGCAACGTTTTTAGGCTATTGTTTCTTGTCTTCATCCTTTCGTTGGTTGTACCAACTGGTAACTGGTAATTTAACATCATTGTGGCAACTATGGAACATCACCATATGCCATGTTTAATAGGAAGTCACCTATCAATGGGCCATTTTCCACAGCAAACTAACCCCACATTGGATACACGTGGCCCTGTAAAGTCAGGACCTGGAAGCTAGGATCCCCCAGGTTATCGAGATATAGTTGTTTTAGCAGTGCATTGATGGATATCCAAAGTTCGAAAAGGCCTTGGCAAAGATATGGAGCTATTTATTATTCCAAGATGGCCAAACCATTGCTTTCCATTGACAACTTGCGGTCCCCTTATTGAAGTAAGTCCATAACCCGTAGTACCATAGCCTGTAGTAGCTATATCTAGCCATGAGGTTCGCGTATTTGTTGCTGGAAAACCGTATTTGTAGTCCACTTATGTTTTTGGTTGCAGACATTGAGTTGCAGCCAATGACACTAAGTTTTCTGGGTGAAAGATCCTTTTTTTGTTGTCTATCGAAACATTTTTTCAGATCAACTGTGTATGAAACCATAGATTCAACTCAACTGTATGTCAGACAATATATGCAACTGTGCGTCAAACCATGACATTGATCATCATTTTCTTTGTTCAGATATGTCATGACATATTTAGCCATCCAACACTGAGGCCAAATTTGATCTTGCCTGCAGCACAGTGCTACTGAACGTTGCGGGAATGCCAGAGCCACTGCAACTCCACCGGATTCCGGAAGATCGGGATCCAATGCAATATGTCCGAGATGTCTTCGCACATTTGAATCTACAGGTTACGGTATATGAGTGAAGCTATGTACATCTATTTCTAAATACTTTAATGTACTTATTCTATCTTATTCTTACGTAATCAGATGTGTACGATCATTATGTCCTGAAGTCTCATGGATTACTGTGTTTTTCTCTCCATCTTGAATACCCTATGCTGGGTATATGCTGTTTCACCCGCGCCAGAAGACTCAGGCAACTTACTGGAGAGAGATCAGCAAACAAGTGTTTCTGACTTGGGATCGTCCCACGTTCAAAGCCAATCTATTTGAACATGGGTGCTTAGATGGGCCATGGGATTAGCAACTCCTGGTTAGGAACTGGATTATAAACCGCCAACTATCGCAATTATTATCCGTTTACTAACTAGTTTGCTTACTCCGTGGCCCATCTAAGCATGCGTGGATGGCATGCAGTCACTTGCAACTGTTTGGAAGCAGTGATTGCGTGAGGTAACCTACATAGAAAGAGAAATCTCCCTAAGTTACGATTTGAAGACATGGATGATCCTTTGCGGTTGCTTGACGATAATATCGCCCGCCCTGTTTGAGATACTTCAACATGGCCAGTGAAATATGGCGAACGCGATGATTAACCATTCAAAAGTTCGGGTACCTTATTTTCAGACAAGCCCGGTGTGTGGTATTCTTGACTTTTTCACGTACAAGCCATAGGCCCATTATTTCTTTGGACCGTTCCCCTCAATAATTTGTCGCGTGCAGCTGTGGATGCGATGGTAGAAGGCCATTTGACTTCACAGGAGTCTCAGAAATCTCAGCTGGTTGATGCTCATAGTGATTTTGCTACCTAAATCATTTCTACCAAATTTATATTATATAATTGGAGATCAGAATCCATTATAGGAATGACTAGTTCATAGCCAATCTGGTTTTGGGCGCTCCCTCAGAAGGTATAGTGGGGATATATATATATATATGTATACACTATCAAATTATGTGCAAACTTATAGACATTTGATGAACACAATGTATATTTATAATTATATGTGTGTGTGAAATATATAAATTATACATGGATGTACTTGTATACACACAGCTATATATGCATATTCTACATATATATATATATATGTACAATATTTGCATATATTGACAAACTGAGTGTATATAATACGATGATAAAATTATATCTATATATTCATATTGGATTAACATTTACAGCATGAATATATTCAAATATATAAATAACAAACTGATTACATATATATATATATATATATGTTGATACATGGAAGGTATTTCCAATGGCTTCACCATGGTCCGCATGGTCCATCTGGCCGGCTGAGGCGCCTTTGTTCATCATGCGCCTCCTGCGGCTGCTGCTGATCCCTGCAGCCGGGCCCTACGATCCCGCGGAGGTCGTACAATAAAACCGTCAATAATGGATGGTTAGATGATAAAGGATGGCATATCTAATTATGGTGACTTCATAAAACTGCCCAATTTTCATTATGAAGCATCCATTTGTAGTGCTTGTTTCTTAGTAATTATGAACATTTATGAACTATCCAATAGATCCATTTTAGGGGTACTCAATTTTGACCCACACCCATGTCCTTGCTATGGATGATTGCGTGGAAAAAATGTCTTTTGTGTTGCAAAGCCCCAATGGTTGCAGAAATTATATAACCACCCCAACCATTTGGTCCCCCGAATGGCTGAGTACAATATGTCGTAGTTGATGTGGTAAACCCAATGCTGTTCAACCTCCAAGTTTTGATGGTTTGCACATGTCTATGCCATAAATGTCTGGTAAGTCAATGTGTGGTGTTTTATTATCATCATCCATTATCCCACATTTTTTGTCGGTTTAAATAACACTTATCCCAATTATTGGTTTTTATACCACACATTATTGATGGTTTCCATCATCATCCATTATTATTCCATTATCCCAATTTGTGGGTTCAATCGCTGTTGGAAACCTCAGCTGCGAGGGTCGACTTCAGGCGCACAACGCCCTGGCACGCGCTGCGGCGGACTTCGCCGCGGGTCCATGGAGTCCATGGCGGGCGGACAGACCTTGGCAGCGCCTGTAAAGTGGCGGCGTCACATGGGGATGCCACAGGCGATGGGCATAGGTTTTTACCACCTGCTGTGATGACTGGGGGATGGTTTACTATTGTTTTACCCACAGTAGTTAGTAAATTGCTTATGGTTGGGATCTAGTGATTTTACAACCCACTTGTTAGCCAGTTAGCTAATCTCATGGTCCATCTAAGTAGCATCATCCTGGAAGTCTTGAAAGTGATGAAATTAAAATGATGGATTGGTTAGGCATGTTTTTGTCATATAGGATCATCATGCTCAAGCAGGTGGGAATGCATGCGTGCAAAATTGAAGATTTGGATGATTTTGCTGACTGAGGGGTGGTCCACTGTTATGCTTCATGTGCTCCAGGATGTGTGTAGTCTTGTGACAGTTTATCTGTGATCTTTTTGTTGGTGTTAATTACCGGTAACATGGTTTTCTCTTAGCACATAGCCTGTGAATGTTTGGCCAACCGTTTCGCGAACCTGCTGGCCCTTCAAAGAGCTCCCCATACGCTTGTTTAATATCCTTGTTAACCTGTGTGCAAGAGAGAACAGTTCCAACTGGACTCGGCATATTTTTTCTGGAATTTGCAACCATTTGTTTGGTCGCTTGAACACATCGTCATTGTCGGAATTGTATAGACAAGGTGGTTCTCCAGAGTTAGCTAAATTGTATTATATCTGTCCTAGGTTAAACAGATTTTATGATGGTTATAACTAGAGTTAGATGGGTTAAGAAACCAACAAACATAACATATTGGCACCAGCTTGTTTATGTTGCAGTGTTGCATAGCTTGTTTGAAGCTACAGCTCAAAATAATGGGATTCATACCTTGAGATGGTCAGATGGCCCACTCCCCAACAGTATCTAGGTAACAAACTCTCGTTGGTATGTCCTCAAAGTAGGGATATGTCAGATATGTCATGCCCAAACAGTTTTTGGTTACAATGTGTTGCCCCCGCTTATGAGTTGATTTTATAATCACCCATCCAACTCTTGATGTATCCAGCACAGGACCGAAGCAATAGGACCTATCAACGGACTTGGCCCACTGGCTGTTTCCGGGCGCCATTGGCTCAAAACCCCAAAGGCCCAGGCGTCGACCGGGGGCACCTGCCGCCTCGTCATGGCGACATGTATGGCGCCACCCTGGTGGGAGCCCCAGAGGGTGTAACATCCCATTGATATCCCATCACTACCCTTTCGTAAACTTCACATAGCTATGGAAATTCACAATTTTTATCTATTTTACTGTAGATAAATGAAACATCAATGGCACAATGGTCATTTTGAATAACTGTTGAATCACCGGAGGGTGCTAAGGCCCAGCCAGCGCCGGGGCGGCTGCTCGGAGCGCCACAGCGCCTTAGCGCGGATGCGGGAGCGTCGGGGGAACCCGGACCGGGGACGGGGACGGGGGACTGGGTGAAGGCTGTCACCAATGGGGATACCCCAAAATAGAGGGTTGATATATACTGTAACTGTATATATATATACATATATATATATATTATATTAATATATTTTCAAATATAGAGATGATTTAGGGGTAGCGCTATTTTACCGGATGTTGGGGTTTTATTGGGACTATACAATTTTTGTTTAAGGGTTTTGATGGGATTTTATAGGGATTTATTGTTCAAAACCCTTGATGGTTGATTATATTATAGGGGGTTATGCTATCCCATATAATTAATTATTGGGGTACAATAAAGATGTAATATTGACATTATTGGGGATATAGCCATAGCCAACACCAAATGATGCACTTTGGTGTTTTGGAGTGTTGACCTGCAAGAATTTGGATTTCATTGGCCAAAAATGAAATATTACCATCGAATCAAAGATAGGAAATTGATTTCATGATGGATATGGCCGTGTCTGAAAAGATCTGAAAAGGGGTGTGCCGCCATTGTTTGGCATTTTCAACAGGGAAAGTGATGATAAACTAGTGGATGGAATGGGGCACCCTATGTTCCAGACAAAGTCATTTTGACCAACAATTCATCAAGAGAAATGTTGATTTAACCAAAACAAATTGGATTGTGAAGACCTACAGCAATACTGATTCACATGAGTTGGGATTTGATCATCAAACCTATAAGATTCTAGCCAACACAAGTGTTGATTCCGTTTGCAAAATGAAGGTTGAATTAATACGGGACGAGGAAAGAAAACTAGCAAAATCAGCTATTTATTATCCAAGCTGGTTGGTGGTTTGGAACATTTTTTATTTTTCTCTACATTGGGAATTCCATCATCCCAATTGACTTTCATATTTTTCAGAGGGGTAGGCATACCACCAACCAGCAAGCGTTTGGGTTTTACCCTTTGGTAAACTAACATAACTACGGAAAATCACAATTTTTTATGGGTAAATCAAATCCACTATAAATGGCAATTTTCAATAGCTATGTTGAATTACCAGAGGGTAATTTTTTGGATTCAAGGTATGTACCTGGAACATCCTGGAACCATCCCTAAAATGTCACAGCAATCGCCAGCGCCAGCTGAGCTTCACGATTTTGGCTCAAGCTCAGTGGTCGTTTGGCGCGGCGTTGTGTGGTGCGGCCAAGTTCCTTGCCTTGACATGGCAATATAATAGGATATGATCAAGGTGATATAATCCATAGGAACTGGTATTTGAAGGGCTTTAATGAGATATCATGTGGCGCACCCAAGGATTAATCCAGAATTGTGGATGGTTTGTTATTGGGTTTACTTAATTCACAGATATAGTAAACATTTTGTAAATCAGTATATACATATATCATATATATATATACATATTTATGAATGAAGAAACATGAAGAAACATTTGCAATAACGCGCATGCACCATCTTGATTTGCAAGAGGTAAGGGATGGTATCCAAGGCAAGTCATCCCTCCCAGGCTGGCGGCGTCCAGGCGACGTCCAGGACGGCATGGCGGCTTCGTGGCTTCTCACGGATTCAACGGAGAAAAGTAGCCCAGGATTGATGTTCATTGCCCATTCAAATAGCATGTTTTGAGTAGCCACCATTTTCAGACACACCTAGTTTCCCAGAGGTCAGTTAACTTCTTTGTATCGGAGAGTCACTGAGAGGCCTGGAACATGCCCACGATGTTTGCGACACCATCCATTGGAGTTTGATGCCTATCGATTGCCTCCAGAATCCAGAAGAATCTTGTCACCACTGATCTACACCCCATATCCAGGAATATCTTGCTTTTCAATCCCATATCAATCCACATGTTTTAATGATATGTTAAATTTGATGGTTAAAAGTTACATATAATATGTATATAATCATATATATATATATATGCTTATAGTATTTTATAGTTAAATTTCATGATTAGGCCCCATGGTGGATGACGTTTGATGGCTAAATCCCACAGCGGCAGGATATATCGCAGCTCGTTTTCAGGCTCAAACCCGTTTCGGCCCACGTCCGTGTTTCTGTCGGCACCGCGCAATGACGACCACAGGTGTTTGGTCCGCTGACAAAGCAGGACCCGACCTCAGCGAACTCAGACGGCTCCTGATGTCCGGATTGGTCGATGATTAAAGGTATTGATGGGTTTATGGTATTTTAGCGGGATTTAATTGTATATGTTAACGGGATTTAATGGGTTTAACCATCAACAAATGGGGAGTTTATGGGGGTATAATGGGACTTTACTATTTGGTACCTTGACAAAGCTAATTATTGAACATCACCATGTTTGATAGGTAATTCATATATATATATATACACATTATATATTATATATATATATACACATGGAATATATGGGGCCATTTTTCGTTGCCACTTTAGTTTCTTGGAAGATGAGCCCAGTGTCATAAAACGTCTACTACTCTGGGTTTACGACCGTGATTGTGATCAATGATGGTAGATGCAGTGCTAATGGTAAAGTAATGTGGTAATTTCAGAGAAGCATCCCATGAACCAGCCATCGCATTTTATTGCTAGGGGCACACACTATTTCATAGACCTCTATCGGGGATGGTTCATGTTTGGGTTTACCACATTTCTGTATATTATTATTAAAATGCTAATACTGATAGATAATGTGATACTATTAATGATATTATTACTGTACTATCATTATAACTATTCAAATGCTAATACTGATGGACCCAGCCTTTTTTGCCCATTCAATAGTGATAGTCATCCCTATGACCCTAAAATGAGCAGTTATTATTATTACCATTGAGATGGCAAAAGCTCTAGCACGTGTTGGTCAAGCAAGCATCGGCCGCACTATAACAAGGCAGGATATAGTTGATGAGATCCCTGCTTTTGTTGCCTCCATTGTCTTGCTTCCCCACCAAGTGGTAGATTGTACCGGAACTATCCCCGGTCTTATTTGCTAACTCATGGTTGAAGTTGCTGTTTCAACCACACTTTTTTGTTGGCTCGATTTGTATCCTATTTATTTGGGGTTTGACTTCAATTTCTGGGCTCGTCAATATCCACATTTTGCTAAATGATGCTAGACGTTTCCGTGTTTTGTGTGTTTTGTTGCCTTACATCCCTAGTGCTGTTAGTGAACAGGGTCACCAAGAATTGTTTCTCTTTTTTCGGTTGGCTCCAATTTCTTAAAGCTTTGTTGGTCATTTGTTCGCTACGGTTGGGAAGTACTAAATAGGAATCCTTCAAAGGTAGAAGAGCTACTGACTTCTTCTACTATCCTCCTGGCAAGTTGCTGTTCTATTTTTGCAATTGCTACGTATTGATAATAATGTGGGTAAAACAAGAATCAACCATCCCCCAAATCACCATTTTTATAGGTGGTACAAACTCCCCAATGGATGGTTTATGGTATTGTTTTACTTAAATTAATAGGCTTATATATATGGAATTAATATGAATTAATCTCCGAAAATGGTGAGTTAATGGTGAGTCAGTTACCCACATTACATTCAGACATTATAGGATGCTGTACTTGCCAGGCTTCGAGATGAAGCGCAAGTCCTCCTTCAGTCTGTTGGACGCCAGCGTGCGGCACAAGACGCATAGCAGCGGCGGCCCGGCCCCTTGGTTCCCCAACGGCTTCGTTGGTCTGTGCTGGGGAAGCAGATGGGACCCCCTATACGGCCTTATGGGACTTAATGGGATTCAATGGGACTTTATGGGTTTTAATGGGATTTACCGTAGTGGTGTGTCCCAGGGATTTAATATAACCTAATTAATGGGATATAATGGGAAGCAGGATGTATCCCACAGATCTGAAGCAGTGAGTAACTTTGGGTCTAGGGGTTGATATAAGATGATGTGAGGCTCAATGCGGCCAAAACAATAGCAATTGGGGGATCGTTGATACCGCCTATTTCAAAGTAACATTTGGGATGGTTTAAGTTATTTTAAGTTTATATATTGCGTAACCATACCTTTGGGTTTCATTTAAGGCTCAAGCCCAGCTAGTACTCGGGACATTGAAACAAGCTGCGATTCCACGGCGGCTGATCGATGTTCATCCCAGCCACCTCGGGGGATCCCACCTCCGAGGACAACCACATGGAGAGGCTGCACCAGCTAATGGAGACCTACGAGCCTCGGCACGTCGAAGAAGTTTAGGCATCTAATTTGTGGCTATAAACGGGGGCTATAATATGCTATTGGACACTAATCACTTTGAACAAATGGATGGTATATAAATGTATCATTCCAAGATTGGCCAAGTTGATTGATGTGTGCACTCCGATGATTTTACCCTTTCAAGTGACCACAGCTGATACCGTGACACCCACAAAAACCGGAGGTTTATTGAGGGTTTTCTATCCACCAACAAGCACGTATATTTTCGGGCGAATGCGGCGAATGTCAACCGGCGAATGATCGAGGTGTCACCTGCTGGCGGTGGCTTGAGACATGGATGAATGTTTGTCCTGTTCGTTCACGACATGCACATGCACGTGGATGCACTGGGCAAGGTTAACATATAGAACTTGCCACCAAAGTGGTTGTTTAAGATGGAAGTCGTGTTGTTGCGAACTAGTCTGGAAACACATTCGCCCAGCAGCAGACTTCCCGGGTTGGGAAACGCAACACATCGCAACACCGGGGTGATCACCACAGGTCCCAAACAATGGAGGCCGAGACTTCAGCCCATCCGTCAGGAAGCCAATGACCCCGCATCCATCCAGAAGTCCTTCGCGCGACACCTGGAGTACTCCTTGGCCTGCACGCGCTTCAAGTTCACCATGCAGGAGGGGTGACTGGTGACCCCCTTTAACAATGAAACAAACATGGGATGCCATTGACATACCATTAAAATATCCCTTGATTGATATATCACTGGCATCTTAATTTACAACATTGTACAACATCCGATACAAATGAACTATACTGACTATCATTCGAAAAATCAACTGTACATCATGGGTATATGTTTGAAATATTATGAAACATCTGGCCAAGAATGTGAAGTTGAAGCCATGATGGGTATAGATGGGAATACCCTGGCAAATTCAAATGGGCTTCTGGTTGGGAACTGGCATATACCTTCATTGCATGGCCTTGAAACAATAGGCACAAGTCATGATGAACCAGTGCATGGAAAATAGGGTACTGTACATATGCTATTTTTGGGCAAATCCATTCGGCTGCAGACCTTGGGGGAGCTGTTTTGGAGCCAGGGACAAAGCGACATCGCTTGGTTTTGGAATCATGTTGGCAGATGTCAAGGTCGCATTTCAGGGGGAAGCCTGCTGAAATTTGGGCACTTTCCCTTTTCTTTTGATGAAACATCATGAAACTATGGCTGGTGGTTTGGTGAAGGGTCTAAACTCGACAGCACCGAGGTGACATCGAATGTGTTGCCAACATCCAACTTTGCATTCGTTCTATGCACCCTCAATTTGCCCTTATAGATATATTTGATAAATAATAATATATATATATTGAGAAAAATTGATATTGGTATGTGCCCTGAATTTACTCATAGCCATAGACATTGGAATCTACTCATACGTTTACCCTCTGGTAAATTAACATAGACCCTGAAAATAGCCTAGTTTTAATGGAAATTAATCTTCCAACCCCTATCTGCCAGGGTCTATGTTAATTTACCAGGAAGTACAATTTTCACCAATTTCTACGGATCACGGGTCGCACAGGACGCCTACCGCGCGGCCGGTTTGGTGCTTCGGGATCGCTTGTTGGAGTCCTTGAACGACACCAATGCCTACTACCGCGAAATGGATGTCAAGAGGCGGGGCAACGATGTCCGTGGTGAAAAACCCATGGTTTACTTGGTGAATTGCTTGTTGAAGCAACAAAAAATGTATTTCACCAATAAACTTGGTGGTGTAATGGGATATATATTTATATACCTATATCTATTTATTTATATATATATATATTATATATATACACTAATGTTGATATATTTAATTGGAAAGATCATAACAACTTCACGGCAATGTCACTGAAATGATGGTTAGGTATGCAAATGGCAGAACTTTTCAGGGACCAGTCCATCTCTGCTTCCTCTGGGGTTGGGCCGGAGACTGCAAGATAGTTGGCCGAACTTTTCAGGTTGGTGAATGGGTGATGAATGGGTTATATAATGTTTAGCATGGAAATGGAATGTCTTAGTCTGGCTTGGCCACACTGGGAAAACATTAGAATGTCTCAATTGGCTCAGTCTTCATGCCTGGGTAAACCCATTGTTGAATGCTATAGGTCATTATTGTTGCTTTTTTGAAGGAGGTATAATGCATAATTCCCTGCCAATAAGTACCTAAAACTTAAAGATGCGCATCTCACCACAGTGTCATGACAGGGGGTACTACCTGTCCGCGGAGTACTTGATTGGCCGTCACATGCAGAATGCCATCGCGAATTTGGACTTGGAGCAAAACTTCAAGGACGACACGAGAAACCGACAGTATCAAGCGCAATCCATCACAAGACATCCTTTGGTGCACAGGGGTTCGTAACCCCTCCCTCCCCAAAAACACACACACAATCACGCAGTTGTGTGTGTGTGTGTTTGTTTTATTCATTTTTATGCTGATTAAACAGTGAGGCTTTCCTGGGTGGCATTGGTGCGTTGAAAATTCATGTTGCCTAGTGCCAAGTGGGAAACTCTTGCGGCTAAGTTGTACGTCCGTTTGGTTTGAGGCCTACTTCCCTGTTTGAAGGCGAGCTGCATGCCCATGCTTTACAGATACACTTTCCCGTGTTCATAGTGTATTGTTCTGTTTGCGGGGAACAAATCAGTCAGTATCCCAGTATATTCTCATTGCATCCGCACAATTTCACCACAAAGCGGTTGTTTTTATACAGTGCCTTTTCCCTACCCTCTGGTAAACTAACAAAACTATGGAAATAACAATATTTAATAGGTAAATCAGCTATAGATGGGCCATTGTCAATAGCTATGTTAGATTACCAGAGGGTAACCTTTTTCCAAGAACCTTGGAATTCCCAATGAAGCCGCAGGACGCCTTTGAGGACTTGGGCATGAAGTTGGAGGACTCCAGCGGCCAACCACCTTCAAAGAATGGATGCATCATCTTCATCACCCTGGCAAAATGGATGGTTGAAGATACCCTCTGGTAATTTAACATAGCAGAAAATCACCATGTTTTATGGGTAAACCATCTATAAATGAGCAATTTTCCATAGCTATGTAAACGTTTACCACAGGGTACCAAAAACATCTCACCGCAAAATGCTGGAGCTGTACAACCTTTCAGCTCCACCCAAAACAACCCAGCAACTTCCGGCTACCTCCAACAAAACCACGGAAAAAATATCGCTATATCACATGGTTATTAGCCAGTTATATCACCATCAAATCCTCGCAATGATTGGTTTTACACCTCTAATGTGAAGGTAACACACCAATGAAATCTCCATATTATGTTCCACCGTGTTTATCTCTACTGGTTATGGCTTCATCAATCCAGATTGATGCCGTTTTTGTTTTTGTTGCAGCCTCATTTTTGCTGGTATAACCTCAATCCCATCCAAAAAAATGACGGTGTGAAATGCTCATCCCCTGAAGGTTAGACCGCCCCCATAGCCCAGTAATGATTTTTTGGTTGATTGATGTTGATTGTTAGACCATTTTTGAGGTGCATTTCTAAACAATCATTTATTCCAACCCACTATTTATTCCTATATGCTTTGTTATATCCCTATCAACATTATTGTATCCCGGTTGTATCCTTGCTATGTTTGTTAGTCACATCACAATTTTGCCTTACTAAATCCCACAGTGTTGTTGCTGGTTCAAACCACATTTCTGACAGTAAAATCATTGTTTATGGTCAAAGTACACTATCATTTTGTATGGTTAAATCACTTGTTTATACTTCAAATCATACCATGCACCAACCATTCTCCCATCATACCATCAAATTCATGATGAAATCATCTGAAATCCCCATTTCTGGTGGCTTTTCAAACCTTTTCCCATGATCTCCCCATGGCTTTTCCCCATGGTTCAGTCCTTTTTGGGGTTTTCCCCATGTGTCGCAGGACCTCTTCGCGGAGGAGGCGGACCCCGCGCTGGGCAACGGCGGCCTGGGCCGCCTGGCGGCGTGCTTTTTGGATTCCATGGCCACCCTGCCGCTGGGCTTTTTAGACCTCTGGGATGGTCGGGGATGGTTGGGGTTGGGGAATCCCCAGTGGTGATGGTTGGGCCACAATCTGGAAGAACGGGGGAAAATAAATCTGGAAAAACATGGAAAAACCATCACTGTGAAGCCACCATAAGGAATGAACGGGTTGGACATGGTTGGAGAATTTGGATAAAAGTCCAGACAATTTCGAACGCCTTGGAGAAAAACATTCAGTAGAAGCAACATCAAGCATCCAAAAGTCCAGTTTGTTGGTGGGAACAGCATGCCATCTCCTTTAATGGCAGTTGATGACCGATGGTTTCAATTTGAGTTGTTCTTTTGAGGGTGAAGTTTGCTGCTAGGTTAAAGCAGTTTGGATCAAGATCTTTGGGAGTTTAACCAAAACATGGCCAGCTGGTGGTTTCAACATATTGTTCGTTTCTCTTTCCCTACCAAGGATGATGACACAAATTGATTGAGATTACTCAGCGGAGTTGAAACCACCATCCAGTTCAATTGACGCATCCATGCAGATTCAGTTTCACACCACACAGATTGGGTACCAACCATTGTCAACCGAGAAAGACAAGGATATCAAACACAAACCATCAAAGTCTGATAGTTTACACCGATATGCAAGAGAAGTCCCAACAGATCATGACTGGTAATGAAGCCTAGGCTTGATTGAGTTATGGGTAGATGTTTTTGATTTGCGTTAACCCTCACAAGAAAGGAACTAAAGGCTGAACATGAACTTCTCTAAAGCCAAGTTTCTTGCTACGGAAACTCTTCACAAAGGTATCACTTCCCGCTGAACAATGCTAAACATTGATCTGTTTTTTTTTGGATATCGAAGTACCGTGTTTCATGACTGGGGAAGATTCGTTATAAGGTCACTGCCGTGTTGGGGCTATGGCATCCGCTACAGCTACGGCATGTTCAAACAGCGCATCAAGCCGCTACGGCTGGGTATGGACTCCCCGAATCATCCTGTTTGAATTTTAACTCGATGTCTTGGAAGGTACACGCTATATGATATTCAAATATATTCAATGATAGGGTTTTGGAAGATTATATAGTTTTTATTTGTTGAGTATGTTGCCATTTATATAATGATATACATCAATAAATATGTTGCACACAAACATGTATATATATACACATGCACATATATATATATATACACATCTATGTATATATATATATCTATCTATCTATCTATCTATCTATCTATATGAATATACATGATTATAAATGTATGTGCAGTTTAGCTATTGTTATTGTATCATTTTGGACTCATGGGGTCATGTGGCTGATATCCCTGAGAAGACCCCGGCCCCTGGAGTTTCCAAACGAGTGTGTCTGATGCAAGAACCACGGATAGCAAGCAGTTACTAGTTAGGAAGGATATGTTGCTGTAAGTGGGACACCTTCACGAAGCATTTTTTCTGATGTGCATGCTTAATCCTGCGGCAACATGGCTCCATGGACGGTCCCATTTTTGGCAATGTGGTCCCATCAATCGATTGGAAGTCCCAGAATTGTGTGGTGATTCGATGTGTGAGTGGATTAACCCTTGAAATCTTAGATGGAACCCCCCAAAAAATATCATATGTGCGTGTTGGAAATTGCCGCTCTTATGGGGGTGTACGGTGCACCAAATGTATGGATCAAAGATGATATTAGATGTAGCGATGTACCCTGATCCCATTATATCCAATCTTGGGGAAAGGTAGGGACTGAATGCCTCAGGCGTAGAAGACTCAGAATACGTTGATGCGGGAATGCATGTCAAATCAAAAAAATAGGCAGGGTTACTCATATATGTTACGTTTTGATAGATAACTGCATGGGAAGTTAACCCTAGGCCTAGCATTTATTATGTGATATTGTGTGTTTGCCCCTTTTGTGTGTATGATTAGTTTTTGCTAACCTACTATAGTTATAATTGAACATATTCTATAAAACCATATTCATACCATATTCCCTATTACTATATACCCATAATTGAACATATTACTATTTTACCATATGCATCCTATAATTGAACATATTACTGCTATATTATTCATATAATTGAACATTCCCATACTATAAGTGAATATATTGCAACCATATTCATACCATATACCCTATGGTAAATAAACATAGACCCTGAACATGACCAATTTTTAGTGGAAACTCATCTTCCAACCCCTATCTGCCAGGGTCTATGTTAATTTACTATAGAGAGTATAATATAGATATTGGTTCATGGTGGTTAATAGGTAATGAATGTTAATGATTAATATGGTTAATGATGGGTTAATGATGGTTAATTTGGTTAATATCAATGGATTGGATTATGGGAAAATTTACAGGAAAGCCCTATATTTGATGGTAAAAACAAAACCATGGTTTCCTGTAAATTTTCCCTCAAACCAATCCATTGATAATAGTGGTTCAGACTGGTGATGCCTATTCACCTCCATTTTGCCCGTGCCAGCCGTTTGCGACCCAAGGGACGGCCGCCAGATGGAGGAACCCGACTTTTGGATCGGCCGCTCGGCGGTCTACAAAAAGGGCGACATGTGGGGAGAAGGATCTACTTATGGAGTTTAACCTCTAGTAAACATGGTGATTTTCCATTTCTACCCTCTGGTAAATCAACTATGGAGAAGTAAATGGTAAAAGTGGAGTTTACCTATAATATGTCCCTTGGAAACATGGTGATTTTCCATTTCTACCCTCTGGTAAATCAACTATGGAGAAGTAAATGGTAAAAGTGGAGTTTACCTATAATATGTCCCTTGGAAACATGGTGATTTTCCATTTCTACCCTCTGGTAAATCAACTATGGAGAAGTAAATGGTAAAAGTGGAGTTTACCTATAATATGTCCCTTGGAAACATGGTGATTTTCCATTTCTACCCTCTGGTAAATCAACTATGGAGAAGTAAATGGTAAAAGTGGAGTTTACCTATAATATGTCCCTAGGAAACATGGTGTTTTTCCATTTCTACCCTCTGGTAAATCAACTATGGAGAAGTAAATGGTAAAAGTGGAGTTTACCTATAATATGTCCCTAGGAAACATGGTGTTTTTCCATTTCTACCCTCTGGTAAATCAACTATGGAGAAGTAAATGGTAAAAGTGGAGTTTACCTATAATATGTCCCTAGGAAACATGGTGTTTTTCCATTTCTACCCTCTGGTAAATCAACTATGGAGAAGTAAATGGTAAAAGTGGAGTTTACCTATAATATGTCCCTAGGAAACATGGTGGTTTTCCATTTCTACCCTCTGGTAAATCAACTATGGAGAAGTAAATGGTAAAAGTGGAGTTTACCTATAATATGTCCCTTGGAAACATGGTGATTTTCCATTTCTACCCTCTGGTAAATCAACTATGGAGAAGTAAATGGTAAAAGTGGAGTTTACCTATAATATGTCCCTAGGAAACATGGTGTTTTTCCATTTCTACCCTCTGGTAAATCAACTATGGAGAAGTAAATGGTAAAAGTGGAGTTTACCTATAATATGTCCCTAGGAAACATGGTGGTTTTCCATTTCTACCCTCTGGTAAATCAACTATGGAGAAGTAAATGGTAAAAGTGGAGTTTACCTATAATATGTCCCTTGGAAACATGGTGATTTTCCATTTCTACCCTCTGGTAAATCAACTATGGAGAAGTAAATGGTAAAAGTGGAGTTTACCTATAATATGTCCCTTGGAAACATGGTGATTTTCCATTTCTACCCTCGGGTAAATCAACTATGGAGAAGTAAATGTTAAAAGTGGAGTTTACCTATAATATGTCCCTAGGAAACATGGAGTTGTTCCATTTCTACCGGGCTGCTCGGTAAATCAACATGGAGTAAGTAAATGGTAATAAGTGGAGTTTACGGCTATACTTGTCCGCATCCCTCTGGAAACATGGTGATTTTCCATTTCTACCGCTCTCTGGTAATCCAACTATGGAGAAGTAAATGGTAAAAGTGGAGTTTACCTATGTCCCTAGGAAACATGGTGATTTTCCATTTCTACCCTCTGGTAAATCAACTATGGAGAAGTAAATGGTAAAAGTGGAGTTTACCTATAATATGTCCCTTGGAAACATGGTGATTTTCCATTTCTACCCTCTGGTAAATCAACTATGGAGAAGTAAATGGTAAAAGTGGAGTTTACCTATAATATGTCCTTGGAAACATGGTGATTTTCCATTTCTACCCTCTGGTAAATCAACTATGGAGAGTAAATGGTAAAAGTGGAGTTTACCTATAATATGTCCCTTGGAAACATGGTGATTTTCCATTTCTACCCTCTGGTATAGTTAAGGTCACCCGGTAGGCGTGAAATTTAGTGCTTACTACTGCCTAAAAATGTGTCTGATTTGGGGTGTTTTTAGCATGTTCGTCGGGGGGGGGCTATTTTCGCAGGTTTTAGACAACCAGGGGTAGTAGGCAGAAGTGTACCTCAGATGTGTGCGAAACATTTTGTGGTTTCTGCTTACTGCACCTCCTTTCCATTGAGGATATAATGAGTATACATAGAATTACATAGACATGTAATTATAGACAACGCCTCAGTCCAGTTCGTGGCCCCATCTTGTGAACATGCAACTGATTTCGTCATGATGGGCGCTGCCACAAAAATGCATGTCCACGTGGGGACCCATTCATACAACCATCAAAACCTTGCTTGGAAACATGGTGATTTTCCATTTCTACCCTCTGGTAAATCAACTATGGAGAAGTAAATGGTAAAAGTGGAGTTTACCTATAATATGTCCCTTGGAAACATGGTGATTTTCCATTTCTACCCTCTGGTATAGTTAAGGTCACCCGGTAGGCGTGAAATTTAGTGCTTACTACTGCCTAAAAATGTGTCTGATTTGGGGTGTTTTTAGCATGTTCGTCGGGGGGGGGCTATTTTCGCAGGTTTTAGACAACCAGGGGTAGTAGGCAGAAGTGTACCTCAGATGTGTGCGAAACATTTTGTGGTTTCTGCTTACTGCACCTCCTTTCCATTGAGGATATAATGAGTATACATAGAATTACATAGACATGTAATTATAGACAACGCCTCAGTCCAGTTCGTGGCCCCATCTTGTGAACATGCAACTGATTTCGTCATGATGGGCGCTGCCACAAAAATGCATGTCCACGTGGGGACCCATTCATACAACCATCAAAACCTTGTGAATGAAGGGCATTTCATCCAAAAAACATTGTTCTGTTCCTGCAGCCTCAAAGTAGCAAGAAAATAATAAAAACATGTGCCAAAATCATGGTGCAGTCCTGATAAAAATAGACTAGATGCACAAAAACGACCTGGCGCAAGGAGAAGCCCACCCCCAGTAAGCAGATCGTGGATCTGCTTACCGCAGCCCTTTCTAGACGATACCTCATACATTTGGGGGCCTGCCATTGTGGATTGATTTTTTTGTGTGTGTAGCAGGGCGGCATGAGGGGCCTTGGCCAAAAAAATACGCTGTTTTGAAAACATTTACTCACTTACCCCTGGCGTTCATCAGCATTTGAGAAAAATCACGTTTAAGAGCCATTTGCAGTGGCAGGGACTGATTGGGGAAATTGAGCCGCTAAAAGCCAGAAATCCAAGATGCCTGTGTGAATGATATGTTTTCTTTAACGTTTCCCACACGGAAAATTGATAAGAACAGGTACGTTCAAAAGACACAAGCCACGGGCTAGTTTCACATATTTTTTGCATGCGCTTGAACACAGCGCAAGAAAACAGTGAAAGTAGCCAATTCCCCTGGGAAAAGTGCCAAAATAACCGTGCAATCCTGATAAAATTAGCAAAGACACAGAATTTAGCCTGACCCAACGCAAAAACAACCTTGCACAGGGAGAAACCCACCCCCAGTAAGCAGATTGTGGATCTGCTTACTGCAGCCCTTTGTCGACGATACCGACGATATCTCATACCTTTGGGGACCTGCCATTGTGCGTAGTAGGGCGGCATGAGGGGCCTTGGCCAAAAAAATACGCAGTTTTGAAAACATTTACTCACTTCTCCTGGCGTTCATCAGCATTTGAGAAAAATCACGTTTGAGAGCCATTTGCAGTGGCAGGGACTGATTGGGGAAATTGAGCCGCTAAAAGCCAGAAATCCAAGATGCCTGTGTGAATGATATGTTTTCTTTAGCGTTTCCCACACGGAAAATTGATAAGAACAGGTACGTTCAAAAGCCACAAGCCACGGGCTAGTTTCACATATTTTTTGCATGCGCTTGAACACAGCGCAAGAAAACAGTGAAAGTAGCCAATTCCTTTGGGAAAAGTGCCAAAGTAACCGTGCAATCCTGATAAAATTAGCAAAGACACAGAATTTAGCCTGACCCAACGCAAAAACAGCCCTGCACAGGGAGAAACCCACCCCCAGTAAGCAGATCGTGGATCTGCTTACTGCAGCCCTTTGTCGACGATACCAATGATATCTCATACCTTTGGGGACCTGCCATAGTAGAGGGGCCTTTTTCATGTGCGTAGTATGGCATGGAAGGCTTTGGGCAAAATTTTGAACAGTGCAACAGCCAATTCCCCGGAAAAAAATGTGCCAAAGTCATGGTGCAATCCTGATAGAATTAGCAAAGACGTAGAATTCCCTGCGCAGGGAGAAAGCCACCCCCAGGACCTTCCATGGTAGATGGACCAATTTCATGTGTGTAGTATGGGATGGAGAGCTTTGGGAAAAGTGCCCCCATGCTCATCTAGTTGGCAGGTACACTTAAGTACCCCCATGATAGCAAATTCTGAGGTATATTTAATCCGTTTATATACATAATGGTGGGAACCCCGACACCAGTAGGCAGATTCCGCTATATACAACATATAAACAAAGGCACCCCAGTAGGCAGAAGTGTACCTCAGAATTTGCTATCATGGGGGTACTTATATGTACCTTTTCTGCTTACTAAGTCATCCGCGCGGAACACTGCCTACCGACCGCCCTGAACTATAAATCAACTATGGAGAAGTAAATGGTAAAAGTGGAGTTTACCTATAATATGTCCCTTGGAAACATGGTGATTTTCCATTTCTACCCTCTGGTAAATCAACTATGGAGAAGTAAATGGTAAAAGTGGAGTTTACCTATAATATGTCCCTTGGAAACATGGTGATTTTCCATTTCTACCCTCTGGTCAATCAACTATGGAGAAGTAAATGGTAAAAGTGGAGTTTACCTATAATATGTCCCTTGGAAACATGGTGATTTTCCATTTCTACCCTCTGGTAAATCAACTATGGAGAAGTAAATGGTAAAAGTGGAGTTTACCTATAATATGTCCCTAGGAAACATGGTGATTTTCCATTTCTACCCTCTGGTAAATCAACTATGGAGAAGTAAATGGTAAAAGTGGAGTTTACCTATAATATGTCCCTTGGAAACATGGGGATTTTTCCATTTCTACCCTCTGGTAAATCAACTATGGAGAAGTAAATGGTAAAAGTGGAGTTTACCTATAATATGTCCCTTGGAAACATGGTGATTTTCCATTTCTACCCTCTGGTAAATCAACTATGGAGAAGTAAATGGTAAAAGTGGAGTTTACCTATAATATGTCCCTTGGAAACATGGTGATTTTCCATTTCTACCCTCTGGTAAATCAACTATGGAGAAGTAAATGGTAAAAGTGGAGTTTACCTATAATATGTCCCTTGGAAACATGGTGATTTTCCATTTCTACCCTCTGGTAAATCAACTATGGAGAAGTAAATGGTAAAAGTGGAGTTTACCTATAATATGTCCCTAGGAAACATGGTGATTTTCCATTTCTACCCTCTGGTAAATCAACTATGGAGAAGTAAATGGTAAAAGTGGAGTTTACCTATAATATGTCCCTTGGAAACATGGTGATTTTCCATTTCTACCCTCTGGTAAATCAACTATGGAGAAGTAAATGGTAAAAGTGGAGTTTACCTATAATATGTCCCTAGGAAACATGGTGATTTTCCATTTCTACCCTCTGGTAAATCAACTATGGAGAAGTAAATGGTAAAAGTGGAGTTTACCTATAATATGTCCCTTGGAAACATGGTGATTTTCCATTTCTACCCTCTGGTAAATCAACTATGGAGAAGTAAATGGTAAAAGTGGAGTTTACCTATAATATGTCCCTTGGAAACATGGTGATTTTCCATTTCTACCCTCTGGTAAATCAACTATGGAGAAGTAAATGGTAAAAGTGGAGTTTACCTATAATATGTCCCTAGGAAACATGGTGTTTTTCCATTTCTACCCTCTGGTAAATCAACTATGGAGAAGTAAATGGTAAAAGTGGAGTTTACCTATAATATGTCCCTAGGAAACATGGTGTTTTTCCATTTCTACCCTCTGGTAAATCAACTATGGAGAAGTAAATGGTAAAAGTGGAGTTTACCTATAATATGTCCCTAGGAAACATGGTGTTTTTCCATTTCTACCCTCTGGTAAATCAACTATGGAGAAGTAAATGGTAAAAGTGGAGTTTACCTATAATATGTCCCTAGGAAACATGGTGGTTTTCCATTTCTACCCTCTGGTAAATCAACTATGGAGAAGTAAATGGTAAAAGTGGAGTTTACCTATAATATGTCCCTTGGAAACATGGTGATTTTCCATTTCTACCCTCTGGTAAATCAACTATGGAGAAGTAAATGGTAAAAGTGGAGTTTACCTATAATATGTCCCTTGGAAACATGGTGATTTTCCATTTCTACCCTCGGGTAAATCAACTATGGAGAAGTAAATGTTAAAAGTGGAGTTTACCTATAATATGTCCCTAGGAAACATGGAGTTGTTCCATTTCTACCCTCTGGTAAACTAACATAACTATGGAAAATCACCATTTATAATGGGTAAACTCACTATTTCAATGGCCATTTTCAATAGCCATGTTTGTTTACCAGAGGGTAAACATCAACAAAATGGGAATGCTGATGGAATTTGATGGAATTTTACGGGCTGACTATGTGCTATTGATGGGATATTAATAGGGAAAACCACTATGGAGTACTATAGTAAACATCACTATACTCTATAGCTAGTAAATGGTTTATAATTGGGTCATGGTGATTTATATAACCCAGGTACTAACCAGTTTAGCTAATCCCATGGCCCAAGTATAGAAGTTACCAGCCTTCTCCGGTGGTAGGGAGCGGTGAGCTGAACGATTTGGGTATCCATATTCCTTTAACGGGAAACCCTTTGGCAATTTGGAGCTAGATACCCTCTGGTAAACATACAAAAAGCTATTGAACATGGCCATTGAAATAGTGAGTTGTCCCATTAAAAATTGTGATTTTCCATAGTTGTTTGTATGTTTACCAGAGGGTACTAAGAGTTTCCCAACCACATGATCGCCAAGCAGAATTCGATTAGCAGATGGAGATGCTTGCTTGGTGATACTTCCATAGTGATATGGGGATGGAACAACAACCGTTTAATTGCTATTTAGGTGTGACATATAAAAAACACAATATATATATATATATATGTTATATCTGTATTTGTGTGTGTGCATGTGTATTTGGTGTTCCCCTCTAGTCGTTGCCCCCTGCTGCAGGCGATGGTTGTCCATTTGAAATCCCGCGCCCGGACGTGACGTACCCCGTGCGCTTCTATGGCAAGGTGGAGGAAGTGCACGAGAACGGCCAAAGCGTGTGCAGGCGGGGAAATCAGCGGGAAAGGCGGTGCTGAAGGGTACTTGGTGGATGATCCCATTGGGTAAGGGGTTAGATGGTTAGTACTTGGGGTTATAAGCCACCTATGAGTCGGATATACTTAAAGGATTTAGTAACCGAGGTTACGAACCACTTACAAAATTGGATGATCCTTCACGTACCCTCTGGCAATCAAATCTTGCGATGGAAAACCCCTGTTCAATTCCATTGACGCAATTGATTTGTTTATTTCAGCCATTGTAATTTCAAAGTGAGCTCCCAGTGCCAAATTAATCCTTTTATTTTCAGAGGGAGGGTTAACCCCCACAATTCTAGATACTTGCATAGTAATTTTCATGGAAGGCTTATTGTTTGCATGTTTTGTAGGTGGATCCCATGTTAACCTTTGGCGCGGCAGGTGGGTGGGTGGCGACATTGTGCAAGCCATGGCCTATGACAATCCCATCCCGGGCTTTGTGAACCGGCGATGGAGAAAGACCTTGATGCCTCCCAAAATGAACAGATCCAGCACTAAACCAAGGTTGATTACTGGATCTGTTCATGTTGAATAGGTTTGATTTAGTACTGGGATTATTGATTAAGTACTATTAAGTACTATTGGGGAGTATTGAGTATTGGATTAGTGATCAAATCAAATACTATTCATTTTGACTAGGTCCTTCACTAAACCAGCAGCTAATTATAGGTAGCGGGATGGGATTCATGGGGTGAGCCCGGTTGAGTTTTGGAACAACTCCAGTTGATTGATGATTACAGGGGATGAGTTTGGCAGGTAAGGCTTATCAGGTGGCTATTTGCTAAACCCACTTATACAACAAATCCAATAATAAACCATATAGACATATAGAGAACGTGGCTAGAATAAGAAACATGCTTGGGCATTTCATTTGCAGGTATTTAAAGCTTTTGCATTCGCATGTGTATAAATGATATGCGTCCGTGTGCTCTCGGGAATTGGCTCAACATGAGTGACCCTCAAAGTTTGCATGCGTGAATACAAAACCCAACTGGTTCTGAGCCATTGTTGAGCCATAGCTGCCATGAGGACACCTACAACACCAACAACCTGCGACTCTGGCGCGCTTGCCCCAGCAAGGAGCAGCTGTGGAATCTCCTGCGGATCAGTTGATTTTGTTTATTGATTCCTTGGAAGATGGAAGAAAGTGCTGAAGATGTGGAACTTAGTTCGTTCCAAACCAAAATATCAAACAACTAGGTTCAAATCAGGATGGAAGCCTTTTTTTCCTATATTCTTCCTCACATTTCCTCTTTTTTTCCTCCTAAGCTATACCTTCTTCAGCCCTTTTTTCCAGCTGCTCCCAGCTCCAGGAGTTTGACCTGGACGCCTTCAGCTCGGCGCAGTTCCAGGACGCCATCACCCAGCGGCGCAAGGCCGAGGACCTCTCGGCGGTGCTGTACCCCAACGTGCCTTGGCGACGCCGTAGGGCGGCCCTGAGTTCACCAGTTTAAAGATGGTTGGGGATGATCCACCAGGTGAATCTTTAATTAATGATTTTAATGGTTAAAGCCATTGTTTGATGGGGGTTTTAGTATGTTTTAATGGTTAAAAACGGTTAAATTCTTCAAAGTGACCTGGTGAAGTGAGCCTTTTTGGGCTTAAGTGACCTCGACTGGGTGGTTGAAAAGGGCAGGAAGCAGGCAGGTATGGATTTGATGGCTATTTCTAGCAGTTAAAAGGGGAGATTGAACTAAACTTGCGCTCCCAGTTTTTCATGGTAGTTGAATGTGGTTGTACATGATTTGATGGGGAAAACCAAGGGATGGATATATATAACACATTATATATATATGTGTGTGTGTAATAGAATGGCAATGGATTTACCCTTCAATGGGATTTTCATCGACTAAATGGGAGACGTTCCAGCTACCATGTTTGATTACGGGAGGAAAATCAAAAAAAAATGAAGAGGATATATTGAACTACCCAGTTTATCAGGATGGATATTGGAATGTAATAGGACTAGTGGCAGCGCTTAGAGGATCACAAATCCGAGACTTTACCAGGGCATTCACCGGTTACTTGGTGGGGTGACCCTCTTGGCTGGGATGCATTGATTGTATTAAGCCTATGTATAAGCCTATGTATTGATAATGATGTGGGTGGATTTGGGAAGGTGATGCCAAATTGGTATCTTCAAAACAAAGTTGAACACGTACCCTCTGGCTATTTAACATAGCTTTGGAACATGGCCCATTTATAGATGATTTTCCCATTAAAACCTCCATTTATGAGGGATTTTCCATGGCTATGTTAAATAACCATATACAATGAGATATGCACATATTTACCCACAGGCACATTTTCCACGTTTGGGTTTTCCATTTGCCGTACTTTATTTGCTTCAAATTTAAAGCTGTCGCACTGATCCTGGGTAAAAGGCAGCCCAGGTGCCCATCAATAACGAACCATTCGGAGGAAGACTATGATTATCCCAAAAAGGGATTTGGTTTGAAAATGTTGGGCACCCCCAAAATTTGAAGGGACATATCTTCATTATTTTTCATTAGTAATTGGATTGTCATAAACCGAGGTAAACCCCATATTTTCTGACAAGTCATGACAAACCTATATTGGTTGATGTTATATCATGTTATATATTATATACATATCCATATGTGTATCCCCATTCGAAAGTCAAATCCAATTGATTCATAGCACCTGCCAGTGAACCTGGATACCTAGCCCTATCACATTTTTTACAGTACATATTGTAGCTACCCTTTGGTAAACTAACATAGCCATGGAGAATGGCCCATTTATAGATGATTTACCATGATTTACCTATATACTAAGATTGTGATTTTCCATAAGTTATGTAACATATTGCCACAGGGTAACTAGGAAAATCCCATGTCTTATAGCGCCAAGCTGTATCCCACTGAGTCCCAGTCCCCAAGGATGCCACCTATGCGGGAAAGGAGTTGCGCTTGCGACAGCAGTACTTCTTCGTGAGCGCATCGCTACAGGTGTTGCCTGAAATCACTGCTTCATGGTGGTATTCAATCATAAAGATCAAGAAAAGTGCGGTGAGTTAATTCATACAGTCATACAGGTTCACCAAGCCAACGTATGGATTTTCAGATATTTTCAGCACATTCTGAAGTGGCTCTTTGGTGTAGGATTTTCCGTTTTGCTTCCAGGAACAGTTTACTTTGGTGCAAGGTGCCTTGAAACCACCCAAAAGCCATCGATTTCACACGCCGCAGCGCTTGGAGGACTTGCTGCGCGAATTCATCAAGCGACCCAACTACAAATGGGAAGAGCTCCCGGATAAGGCTGTCGGAAACAGGGTGGTGGCCTAGGTCATGTGGTAAAACATGAGAAATTATGGGAAGCAAACATGGGAAGATTATGGAGAAAAACGTAGAAAAAGAACATGTAGATTGTTTTGATTTCTGTTAGCCATGCCTGCGCATGGCCCAAGATCTTTGACATTCTTTGACCTATTTGATCCCGTTGATATGGCCTGCGCATCCAGCATAAATGAACAGTCCCCATGTTATTTGAGATTATAGTAAATATCCCGAACCCCCTGGCCGACTGCTGGCCAATGCACTTCGATATGCGAATCACGAGACGGGGTGATGTTTTTGCTTTTGGGGTTAATCTCGTAAGGTTTACCCAGACAGACCCCAGTCAAAGTCACTGGAGAAAAGACAAAATGCCATTATCTATGACAGCGACCATTATCCAATAGTCATGCCACTTATCATCCACTAATCCATACAACCATCATGAACCACCACTATCATTAATCAGTTGTGATTTACCCTCTGGTTATTTAACATAGCCATGGAAAATGGCCCATTTATAGATGGTTTACCTATTGAAAATTGTGATTTTCCATGGCTATGTTGAATAACCAGATGGTATATTTACAATGTGGTAATCTGCCAATGTATGTTTTACTAATGGGTGTTTCCTAAAATGGTGGTACCCCCAAATCATCCATTTATAGATGTTTTTTTCATTATAAACCATCCAGCCATTGGGGTACTCCCAAATCATCCATATGTTCAATAGGATTTTCCATCACAAACTTTCAATAGGATGTTTGATTTTCCATTGTAAACAACCATAAACCATGCATTTCGTGGAAGATCCCCATGGCTTAGGAAAATCCCCCAGCCACGCGGACCTGCGGCCCGAAAGGTGGCGGTGCAGATGAACGACACCCATCCCACCATCGCAGTGGCCGAGATGATGCGATTGCTGGCACCTGGGACAACAGATGAGAAAGGAACAACATGGTAAAGTTAAAACATGTTAAAAACATGATTTCATGGGATTTCATGGGATCTAAATGGGCTTTACCCGGTTAGGTATGTTGATAATGACAGTTATGGTCGTTGAACGAGACTGAAGTCCTTCGACCGCACCAGTGCGATGGCTGAAGACCTGCACCCAACAGGACATCCCAGACATTCCCATGGGTTCTACTCATTCTACTCCGAAAACCCTAACCATTCGCAGGGTTGCTCCAACCATTTACAGGTATACAGGCTAACATTAGGCTAACAATGCTTCAATTGATGTAAAATGATGTAAATTGGTAATTTTGCTGACAGGATATGACAGGATATGACAGGATAAGGTGTTTACATAAGAGATCAAGGCTTGAGACCCCTGAGTTGAGAGAAAAGCGAGAGCTGATCCATGCAGAAGATCAGAAATTCAGATTCGAGACAAATTTCAGGGAATGACATGGGTTACCCATGGTTACCCCTAAAATTTTGAACATACTACAAGACACTGCAACTAAGCAGCAAAGACATGTAAAAACGTGATCAGTCCAACATAACCCAACGAATTCCGGCCAACCTGTGGTTTTGCCAGTAACTTTAGCCCTTAATTTCTAGCATCATTTAGTCCCATTTAGTCCGAGTATCTGGGGTGTTTGGAGCACCGATCCCATGGTGCAGCTCCAAGGTGGATATTCAAAAGCTGGACTGGGACAAAGCATGGGACCTCACCAGGCACGTAGGGGGTCGTTTTTCAGTGGCGATGAGGAATCGCTAACTGGGCTTTCGTTGGATGAACTAATTGAGGGGCACCATGTTTTATTGGACGTGTCACTACTGATACAGGGGATCTATGAATCCTGAGTTGGCCTCACTATTCTCATTGGCATTGGAATTGGTTGCACATCCATCAAAATGTAGGCTTGAAAATGATCAATACGTGTCAATACTATGTTTGAATGGGACATCCCCTATCCTCTTTATTCTTGGTTGATTGTTCTACATCCAGTCAAAATCAATGATAATTGATCATCAATGCCAATATAGTGTGAATATGATAGTGAATATGTGCCAATGCCATTTACATCAATCAATAATCAGCCCTCTCGAAGAGGGTCCATGGCCCCCTCTCAGCCACCTCTCAGGAAGTGCTTGAACTACACCAACCACACGGTCATGCCAGAGGCACCAGTCGAAACATGGGGATTCACCATCCAAAATGAGGAGTTGACCATCAAAAACTCTAATGGGGATGTGAAGATTCACCATGAAAAATGAGAAGATATTGGGAATATATATATATATATATCTACCTATCTATTTATCTAATCTAAATTAAATCTAAATCTAAATATAAATATAATCTAATCTAATCGAATCTAATCTTGTCTTATCTTATCTGTCTATCTATCTATCTTTCTTTCTATCTATCTTATCTATCTATATAGATATAGATTTAGATATATAGATATTATATAGGAATTATTATCGACCCATCTTTGACCTATCAATGATGGTTTGTGGTTTAGTAACACCTCAAAAATGTTTGGCTTATTATTGACGGCGAAGCCCTGGTAACCTGGGAACAGGAGCCTGGTGAAGAGAGTCAACAAAAATAACCACCCAAGATAAGGTAATACACCCTGCGGATCACACTTCTCGTATCAAAATGGGCTGGGCATGAAAAAAATCTGCGCATGCAATGTTCCCACTATCCTCTTTGGATGCTGAGTGCATCACCAATTGCTTGTGACGGTATGTTCGTGGTGTTGCGGTCTTTGCTGTGGAAGACAACCAAAAAGTTTCAGGACGTTCCCATTTCGCAGATGTTCATTGTTCAGTACAATTCGCGCCTCTCAAATGCTCTAGGTTTCTCCGTGTTTTCAATGTTTTTATAAAATTGTAATTGTTGCAGGTGAGTATAGATATACCATGATATACCATAGATGCTTCCATATGTTTCCTGTGATTCCTTTGTTCATCGCTTACAACCACGAGCTGACTTGACGCCATCTCACTGACCCAGTCGTGCGGCTTGATGGGCCATGGGAATCAGAAAATCTCTATGGCTTTCAACTTGTTTGGCATATCAATGGGTAATCTATGGTTAGTAATGGGTAGTGATGGTTAGTAATGATTAGTAATGGTTAATAATGGGTAACTTGATGGGTAATCTATGGTTAGTAATGATGGTTAATAATGGGTAATCAATGGTTAATAATGGTTAATAATGGTCAACCAATGATCGCAGGAACATTACTATGAAACCGACAAGATTTATTTAAAAAAAAACCTTCGCATTGCTGGCGTTTTTCACTGCCAGTAACTGGGCTGCAATCCCCTAAGCTACCTCATGGCTCATTATCGTAATCTGGATGAATTGTGGCAAGGTCACCATGCCATATGAAGAAGATGAACAACGGGAACCCCTCCCAAAACTAATGTCCAATGGCGGCAGGCTGGTGAAATATACTCTAGTTCTTCGGCCAGCCAAAAAATGCAAACTATTTTGGTTTTGCCTGGTTTACAGTCATGGTCTATCCCAACTTCGCGCAATGCACTTGCTTTTTATGTAAGTATCATCGTAGGACCCAACCGGTCATCATGTTTAATCTGTTATCATGTTGAGCCGATGATCTGTTATATACTATATATCATTTATCCAATATCCCCACAATCCCCCATAATTTTCCCAGGATACAGTTCGGGGACGATTCCAATGCTGATTCGTTTGTCTGGCTCCCCCTTGTTTTAGAGGGAATATGCATACCACTAGCTCAGCTCGAACAGTTGCAAAGTTAGATAATTATCCCAATGTTCATATTCCCATGATAGTAATGTTCATATTCCCATTTTTGTTGATGATATCACGGGGAAATCCCATGAAATCCCTCGTTGTTGATGGTAAAATCCCATCAAATCCATTGAAACCCCTCAATTGATGTTGCTTCAGTCCCCACCGATGCTCGCATAAAAAGGCCTTGGAAAAGTGGCCTGTGGAGATGTTGGAGCGCATGCTGCCGCGGCACCTGCAGAGACTTTGATTTACCAAACTCCCCAGGTTACCTTGGGAAACAGGTATCGTATCAGGTGTTTTATCAAACTCCCAGACTCCCAGGTGTTTACCCTGTTTTTTTTTTGTTATACCCTCAGGTTTGTTTATATAAAAGAAAACAGGATTGGGGTTTAGTCAAACAACAGTTACAACGTGAGTATCTTTCATGTATATAGTTCACGGATAATTTCGATTCCAGCAAGAGACAACACCCACAGATCTAGATCATTCAATACCCAATGTGTAAACAAAGGATTCGGGGAATAGTGGGTGAAACTGGGTTGATTTTTATCCTCAAATGGACGAATTATTAATCAGATGGTGTATCCCGCTAAACTTGTAATTCCACTTTACTCTCGCAGTAAGAGCCCCCACATCTTGGTAGTGATTGGGGGAAGGGGTTAAATTGAAATGGCAATCGACATGTGCTCCTTTGCACACTATGTTCGTATTCCAAATGCGATTTCTGCATGTACAGTATATCAAATATCATTCAATCTATTTTCGGATGTTGGCTGTGCTTGGACGCGTGAGAGCATGGCTGGTGTCCATGTTGGCTTTCAGGCTGGTGTCCTTGCAAGCAATGGAAAACCCATCGATCCTGCCATGCAAATCCAAGGATTATTTATCATATCAATGGGCATTGGATCCAGAAGCTCTTGCAGAGGCACTGGGCAGCAGCATTGCTGATCAAGCCATGGGGTACCCTTTGGTAATGACAGCCCTCTGAATGTTAAATTCCCTGTATATGTCCCTTCTTTTAAGAACAAAGCAACATCAACAGCATCAACAACAACAACAACAACAATAACACATTCAAACAAATGAGATCAAATGAGCAGATTTGCCTGGAATTGGATGATGGGAAAATTACGGGAAATACATATAGTAATAAGTAATAATTAGTAATACATGTTGGTATTCCGGGGTCAATCCCATGGTTTTCCCTGGATTCTCTCTTCGACACAAAAACATTCAAATTTGCACAGACAAGACCCAGGGAACCCAGCGCCCGTAAAGTCCCCCTGGTGTCCCCTGTGGTCAAACGAGCTGATCAACCAGGGGGGATGGTAAATCGTCAGTATTGCAGATCCTCCTTGGTCCAGTAACGTAGTCAAACATCAAACTGGCAAACCCACGAAAAGATTTAAAGGTGATGTTGATGTAAATTTTTGAATACTCCCAATGAGATTGCTGGAGATTTTCGATGCTGCCTAAAATGCACACGTTTGGTTGTAAGACTCACCCGTGATGTGGGTAAAACCAACGTTTTCCCTGGTGTCATCAAGACTGTTGCTGGTTAAAATGCGAAGGCACGAAACCACCCAAACGTTTTTTGCTTAACCTTGTCCATAAACAACACGTTTGCCTGCCTTTGCAAAATCACCATTGTCTTCAAGAGTGCTCACAATGACCCGACAGCGGTGCACTATGGGGCAGGGCAGGGACAGCAAGCACCGAGACAGCAGACAACCACTGCCTTTCAAAAAAGGATCTCTCTCGCATGGGTGCCGGATGATTATTTTTTTGGTAAAACTCGGTGCATTTGCTGCTTCACCATGTTGTTGGTATAAACCAAGTTGGTGCTGGTAAAAGTCACTTAATTACTTGTGTTGTAGAAGTTGATCTACAACATGAATAAACAACACGTTTCTATTCATCAAAGCAACTAACTACTGTATTTGAGCCGTTAAAATCACCGAAAAATACCGGTGAGGTCTCCAAACTTTGTTGGTCCGTTCATGTTTTTTTATGCAAAGCTCTCTCTACCATTGTCGTGGTGTTTGTGTTTTGCTTTGTTTCCCCGTGCATTTTTTACTGTGGCAACACTTGGTCTCATAACCAATGTGCGTTGCTCAAATCAGTTTCGCTTGTTCGTCAGCAAAGCCAATGTTTGCTCGTGCCCCTCCCCCCCACCGTCCTCGCTGTTTACAGTGTTATTTGGCTGGTGAAAATCCCTTTGTTATTGCTTCAATTCACGTGTTTCATCGTTTTTGTTTCATCATGGTCGTGGCTTCAATTTCGGCTCAAATGTGTCACCATTCGTTTCTGGCTAGAATATGTAAGAAATCCTTGTAATTGTATAAAGCCATTATCTCTCACCATCATCATTTTGTGGCTTAATGATCTTATGATATGCTGCTTTTGCAACCATGTTTTGCGACTTTTCTACCAGTCTGTGGCTAAATTGTGACTGTTTCCCGCATTTTGTGGTGCCCTCCTCCCTATTTTCCCAATCTTTTTCCTGACCCACCCATGTTTTGCCAATGTCGCCACGTTTCCCGTTCGCCAGGTATGGGGACGGCCCCATCATCGCCGCTCTGAGCATCGTGGAGGAGGGTGACGTGAAGAAGATCCGCATGGGGCATCTGGCGGTGATCGGCGCCAACAAGGTGGGGGAGAATCTCACCAACGATGGTGGATTGAATGGCTTAAACTAATAAGAACTAGCGATTTTAGCCATTAAACATGCTGACTTAAGCAACAAACATTGGGATTAACATGTTAAAAAATGGGGACTTACCCTACAAACATTGGAAGTTAACTATCATAGATGCAGACTTTGCCAGCCAAGACTAGGATCTAACTATCAAACATGTCACTTAACCAACAAAGTTGTGACTTGACCATCAAACAATGTGGACGTAACCAACAATAGTGGCTACAAAAGGGGATGTCAATGGGAAATTTATGGAATTTTAATGGAGATAGAATGGGAAAATAGCGCCAATAAGATGAATTAGTTGTGTGGATTTTTACTTACTGTTATGGATGCTAGCCAAAATGATATTAAACATATATAATATATATATATACACTAATAGCCAATGTGTTGGGGAAGAGTTGTTGTTGGTTCTAAATAGCCAAACACAGAATAATACAAAAACAAACTGATGATGCTGATGACGGTGATGACCATGATGACGATGCCGATGAGACAATGATGATGATGATGATGATGATGACGATGACGATGACAGCAACACCCAACAAATAATTCCTATAATTGAACATTCGATGGGCAAATGAGGGGGTGTTTTGCTCAATTGATCGGTGATCACGCGAAGAGCTATGGGTTACGTCACGGTAGAGTGATGAGTGACGAGTAGATATTGAGTATATATTGAGTAGATTACGGTAGATTTTTTTTTGTTTGTTCATCACGGACAATCCAGTTTGGTGTGATAATTAGCCAAGAATTGTAGGGTATGCGGTATGCACCCATGAATTTCCCGCTTTACAGCTTCTACGTTATTATTTTAGCGGCATTGATCAATTAGCAAAACATGAAGGTTGATGAGTTTAAAGGAACAGAAATCAAGTGTTTAACCACGATGAAATGTGTATATACAAAATAAGCGATCGCGAGGTAAAATGATAAATGTATGTAAAATGTGTATCTAAAAAAACGCAATTGCATGTCCCAAGACAAGTATATGTATTAAAAACAAAATGATTATTGGGAGGAAAATCTTATAAAATCCTAATGTGCGCAGGTTAAATCCCAATTTATGATGGTTGGACCCACATTTCCGGCAAACAAATCAACCCGTTTGATGGTTGAATCAGCATTTCTGATGGTTAAAACATGTTAAAAATACCAGCTCTGATGGTTAAATCGTTTTTTTGTTGGTGAAACCATCCCATATGCTCCATGTATGGAATATTTATCTACATTTGGGTCATTTATGGGGTAAATGTTGGTAAATATTCCATACATGGAGCATATGGGCATGAGAAACTCCACATATGTTCGTTGCTTCAGCGATTTTGTTGGGAGATTTTAAGTGGCCAGGTCAATGGCGTGGCTGCCATCCACACGGAGATCATTAAGAAGGACTGCGATTTTTTTGGGGATAAAAAATGGAGCCAAAACTGTTGGGAGAAGGGAGATGAGAGTAAAATGAGTAAAGTTTCATGGAATTTTCACAGATTTTTTGGGGGACTTGAGAGTTTTTTTTCCGTCATTCTGATCCACTTCAAACGAAGGTCACTTGCCCAAGGGCGGCTTTGTGTTGTTGGAATACTTGGTGGGGCCCTCGGGCCCTGGTGCAAAGGCACGCCAGGGCCCTCTACTAGATGCTCCTGCAATTGATGGTATATCATGAGAGAATATTGTGAATAAGTGGTTTCACATTCAGGATAATTTGACCATGTTGAAAACATATTGATGTTTATTGATGAATTATTTACATTCAGTATTGATTTGGCACCTCCAAATGGTTGCAAACACGTTTTTTTTTAATATAAACACATGCCCCCCCAAACTAGGGATATTTGCCAGTTTGACGGGATGAAATGATCCAGCTACAACTGATGACCCATCATTCTATCCCAATATGTTCCAAGTTTTTTCAGCAAGTACCCCAGAAGTGATCTCAAAAATGACCCCAAGCAGTATCCCAATGTTGCCAAACTTGCCGTTGACCTCGACTTTTTCACATCCCCCAAGCGTAAAAATTGCCGAATGGCTGGAGCGTGTCGTGTCGCTTACCGGGCCCGGGCCTTCAGGAGACCTTCCCTGAGTTCTACAAGTGGTGCTGTGACAACAACGAGCCAAACAAGATCGATGCTCGGAGACAATTCATGAGGACTAATTTAAGCTATGGGATGAACCAATCATTAAAACATATACATCTATTATAGCTATATACCATTATAGATATATAAGCAATCTAGTAAGCAATATCGAATTGCTTGTTGTTTTCCAGAATCGGTATTGTCCCAGCAAACAAATGAGTTTTAAAGTTGATATCACACAAGGGGGTATAACGGGTATAAAACCGCGGAATCTGCGTGGTGGTTTCATTTTTTTCAGATGTTCCGTCACCATCCGAGTGACTTACTTGTTGGGATGGGTTGAAGCCACAAGCAAATGTTGGTTGAGCTTCCAGCAATGGCAATGGGGAAATAAACACGTGGACGTGGATTGGTGAAGTATCTGTATGAATGCGCGAATGCGCCATGTCCATTGACAACTTCGATTCCGGATAAACCCCAAAAAACGGACTGGTCATGTTAAATGCTAGTTTTCCTTCCCATTCCTACCTGGGGAGGTGAAGTGCCTCAGTTGACCATAACAAACCTACTACTCAGCCCAGTAGAAGGCATCACTTTGTGTCCTTTGTTTTCCCATTGCATTGCGGCGCAGGTGAATATGACCAACGGAGTGACCCCCCGGCGATGGATTCACTGTGCGAATCCTGCGCTGAGCGAAATCTTCACCAAGTATTTGGGTTCCCTGGTTGCGAAACTAAAGTGGTTCACAATGGCTTTGACATGCTTTAACCCTCAATGACTCAATGCCATCCCACAAGAGTGATTTTTTTTTTTAACATATGGAAACCCACCAAATGGATTGAGCTCACAAATCTTAAGGTCCTACATGTGTTTTCAGTCGGTGTTCACCTTCCCTGCTTCAATTCTTGGGGCGTGTAGAAACCCCATGGATAAAGATTTGCCGTGGCCACCTGAGGCCACACGGGGGCGGAACATCTCCCATGTTCGATGATTTATTTTTCCCAGCTACAAACCTCCGTTCATGTGGATTTCCCTTGCTAGCCCCCCATTTTTTTGGTCACACTGACTCTCAGGTTCGCAAGAGTGGCTCACCAATATGAACAAGCTGAAAGTATGGAGCCCCATTTCGGCAGCAACGGAGCCCCAAAATATCCCAAAATCCCATGGTGTCTGATTGTATCGTTTGTTCAGTAAGATTGGCATTTTGTTTGGGGTAATCCTGGTAACCCTCATTTCGAGAAACTGTATGATATTGTTGGTCGATTACATATTATTGCCATTTTATGTCCCCATTGTGCTTGGTTTAATCTGCACTTCTCAGCCGTTTTACATCCTTGGAACCCTTCTAAAGTTTATACATATTGACGAGTTTTGGATGCCGGGAACATTCTGCGCAAAGCCTTATTTTTTTCATAGGGATGGTTCAATTATATCACTTTTTGGCGATTGCAAAATACCAGATGACATCCAGAAATCATCCTTCCAATTGTTGCTTATCCATTGCGATGCTTCTACCAAGACGAGCAGACCCAGGCAATGCTGCAGTACAAGGAAGATCCCAAGCTGCATGAGGAGTCGCCTGGCGATGCCATTTGTTGGATGTCAATTGTGGTAAACCAATGGTAAACCGGCCCAATGCCATAAACCATGCCATTAAAACCAACCATGACTGGGGCTCATGTTACATAATCCCAAACCAAATTATACAACAACAAATAAACATCAATTTCGGATGACTTTTTCTTGGGTTTACGACATTATACGGCATTGAGAGGACCATAGGAATACACATGGAAGACAATACACCATATACCATGTTTTTGACAATGGCACGAAAATTTGAGCATACAGTGGGGCAGTCCCTACAGGAATCTTCAAGTGATATCTACTGACCATGAGGCATAGCCTTAAATCGGGCATTGGATGTATCATGATTTCTCCATATTTATCCTAGTTTGGAAATCAGGCCTTCACCACCTGTTTATCTGGATATCATGATAAATATGGATATATAATGATATATATATATATATCCATATTTATCATGTTTAAACAGCCTTCACCACCAGGTGGATGGCCATGTTTTCACAGCATGTAACCACCGCTCCCAGGTGGATGGCCATGAAGCGCGGTTGCAAGACCAAGTTGGCGGATTGGCTGAAGAGCACCATGGATTTGGAGATCGACCAAGATGCCCTGATCGACATCCAGACACTGAGCTGAGGGGCTGGCCTCACGTTGGTCAATCAATATATAAATATAATATATATATATATACATACATACATATATTTATGTATATTTATGTATATTTATGTATGTATATATATATATATGTATAAATATTTATGTATATATATATATATGTATGTATATAGATATATATATATAAGGGGCAGAAAAAGAATGTATAGTAAGGCAGGCTGGCCCCTAAGATGCAGAAGAAGTTTCTCTTCTGCCTCTTTTGGGTATTTCTTGTTGGGGGTTGCCGGCTTTTGATTCCGAAACATGTGGTGGATTTGAATGGTCCAACATTGTGTGTCAACCTATATGTATAATATATATATATATATACATACACCCTCTGGTAAACGAACATAGCCATGGAAAATCACCATGTTTTTCATAGGTAAACCATCTATAAATGGACCATTTTCCATGGCTATGTTGAATAACCAGAGGGTATATATATATATATATGTATATTATAATCTTGAGTGGGGTTACTTTAACATTATTACTTCCATGCATGATCCCAGGACTTTGGCTTCCCATGACTGGATTTTCCTTTCGAACGGACCAAGTTTTTTGGCTCGGCAGTTTTGACTCGGTCCGCTGTGGCGCCATGCCGAGAGCAATCGATGTGTGGATGCAACATCCCACGCAACGCTTCCTGACGGACTCAGTGGGCCAGTTTCAGCAACCAGTTTTCGATTGTTGAGTTGGGGGTTTCCGAAAATGAATGGAAATGGGGAAACCCCAATTAGCTGGACGGTGTGTAATCTATGAAAATGGATGATTTAGGGGCACCTCCATTCTAGGAAACCTCTATTTCAGCCACTTCCAACCATTTTCAAGATCCTGACCCCTTTCAGCATTTTGTCCTGTTTAGTCCCTGTGAACGTCCAGCTACGTTCCCGCAGGATTCCATCTTCGACTCCTTGCATCGTTGGAATCGCATGGATGTCTCAGTTCTGCAGAAGCCGGATCATCCCGTCTACAGTCCTTGGGCAATGCTTCAAACAGGTGTGGGTCAAGATTAATGAATTAAGCCCAACAATAAACATAATAAACCCCAGATCATTATGGATCATTATGGTTCATCATTGATTATACCCCCTAAATGGATCTAAATGGTTGATAGCTGGGATATGCTGGGATTGTTTTTGATTGGCTTTACAACACTATTGGCCCCGAAAATACCTGGTTTGACCATAATCTATGGTTCCCTAGGTCTTGAACCTTTGTCCATACCCAAGTATTTTCGGTTGTGGCGTTAAGTTAGTTCCTCATTTTTTAGTTGACAATAGATAGTGGCAAGAGACAAACAACAGGTGTACGACAACAATAGATGCGTGCAGGATGATGAGACTTATTAGCAGCTAATTATTTCCTTCCCTATTATTGTTATTATTATTATTATCATTATTATTATTATTTATATATATATATATTATACAGTACATATATATTAAAATTAATATACATATTAATGTTAATATCAAGTACCCCCCAAGATACCTCAGTGTACCAGTGGATTCATTCATGAATTGCGGGTCATGGGGGTACAGAAGCCCCAAGCCCTGAGATGCCACAATGGAGAGGCAGCTTTAATGTTATGACAATCTTACATTTAATATTAAAAGATATTAGATGATTGTAATTAGTCCTAGGGTGCCATTGAAATGTGCGTATTCAATGGTATTTAAGTCTTTAATATTAGAGGAAGGGATTATAAGTTATATTCCCATGATATTCCCATTTACCACTTGGGACCACCGGCCGGGACACTGAGGTCCCCAGATGTCGCTCAGCAGCATGGACGCGGGCGCGGTGGACTTGGGTCTGGCTTGCGCCTGGTATGGCCCTGAGGGGACCATGATCTCGAACGAAGATGTGAAGAAACTCTGCGAGGCGTGCCACGGCGGTTGGGCTACTGTGGGCGTTGCAACGTTGCGGCGTTGCCGTGCCCTAAAGTGCGGTAACATAGCATCAGGCAGAGAATACACGGCAGGTTTTTTTTTAAATTTTAACCAATCGGACAGTAATTGGACAGGTCCCCCAAAAAAAGCTGATATACTTCCACTTGAAAAATTGGAGATGGTTTGACACTAATAAACTGACGTGAAATTGGTGAAGGGTGGAGGGGGATGAAGGCAGAATCTCGCCAGTTCCAGCCTGGCAGCGAAGAATCCCCAATGATTGCAAGTCACGTTAAATGGTAGATGTTCCATTGCGTTGTGACAGAAAAGAGCAGGTATCGGATGGTTTTCTGCTCCCAACAAAGCACCCTCTGGTAAAGCCGTAGTTTGGGGATGCGCTTGCATGTCTATTGTACCCAAACCAGACAAGGATGCAAGCGTATCACCAAATCATACTGTAGTTGATCAATCAACTGCCTTATTTTATGGGATTAGCTGAGTATATGCCATCTCCATCCATCTCCCCAATACTAACTTTCTAAATGCCGGTTGCAACAGCCAGACAGAACTTATATCCATGTCTATTTGGTCCCTGACTTCTATAAGCATATTAATAACACTAACATATGAACCATCATTGTTGGTTTGTAAAATCCATGGCTAGCCAGAGAAATCATGTATATATATACGTATATATGTATATGTATGTATATTGACCATATACAAGCTAATCCTATACCTCAATCATATCAAATTCCCCCAAACGAAGTCCCCAATTCATGAATAGATCCAATACACCCCACCAATGGGGAAATGCCAATTGGGGTTTGATAGTTTTGCCACAGGTGGATATGTACATTAATCATCATTAATCACACGGTAGATATGTTTATTTTAAAGCTATATACTCAACAAGTAATCATCATCGTCAATCGTCGGTAGAAACAATGATGAACCAGATAGGGATAGGGATAGATATGATATAAACTAGCTCTGTGGATCCAGCCGCACCTTCTGAGGGAGTATGGCCGGGCTATTTTTGAGCTGGGGGATAAAGATAAAGTAACTTATCACTTTCCTTCTCCAAAAGTATGTGGATCAGTTTTTTTTAAAGAAAATCAACCATATACATCCATATACCATATACAGATGTATAACATATATATATATATACACATTATATTATCTATGTTATGTATTGGTTGTAGGTTCATTTAATAAGACAAAACATCCAACTAATGTCCCATTCATATTGTAACTGTAACATACATATCATACTCAGACCATTTTGTACATAAGAACCATGTATATATATATATAGACATCAGTCAATATGAAACATGTATGTATGTATATATATATACACCTATACCTATACCTATACCCATACATACATACATACATACATCCATCCATCCATCCATACATACATACATACATATAGATATACATATATATGTATATGTATATATATATATACATAGTTATATCATATCATATATATATTATATGTGTGTGCATACATATGTACATGGCATCCAGCCATCTCTGCCTGGTTCTCCAGCCATTTCCCCCGCTCGAGGCAGCCCCGGGGCGTTTCCTGGGCGTGGCCTCGGGCGACATCCGCGACCCGGTGCGCTGCGTGGCGGGCATCAAGCACTACGTGCAGAAGCACGGCTTCGTGGCGGTGCGGATGCTGGGCACAACAGGCTGAGATGGTGATGACCATGATGGTTCATGATGGCACAATCATAGTTACAGATGGTTACTATCATGGTTAACCATCATGAACAATTCATTTACCATGGTTGAGATAGTTACTGCCATAGTTGAGATGGTAAATGATTGTTCATGATGGTTCAACTATGGCAGTAACTATGGTTTATAATGCATTTATAATGAGTTCACAATGGATTATACTTGTTTACGTGTGTTTTAAGTAATGTTGTATAATTTTGTTTAGTGGTGATTATATAATGGGATGGTGATATGGACTATGGCCATTTGTATGGTTTAGTAAAGACAATAATGGGATAAACATGTGATATTTATTGGACATGATTATTGGATAATGACAACAGGTTAGGACGTTATGAGATTCATGGTATGTTGACCATGAATATTGATGGTTGATAACTATATTGGTATAACATATTTAATGATAATCATACAGCAATGGTTGTGGGATATGAATGAGGGATATTGATGTTCACCATGGATATTACTGGCTCATTAGTTAATAATGGGCCATTCATTGGGAATCAATGGGAATCAATGTGCGATCAAACATGGCAATGGACTAATTACCCATTTAGTTGATATATATATATATATATGCATGATGTTCATGGGATGTTCACCATAGATACTAATGGTTAAACATAGGACATAAATGGGACATTAATCGGGAATCAATGGGATAGTTTGGTATATCACTGTTTCAAAAGGGAGAAAAGTCTTTGACTTCGTTGTAATGTATTGTTGAAATGTAGGGGATACAAACGGATACAACTGATAAATTAATGGCAGTTGGTTTCAGTGAAGGGATAGCTTGAGTTCAAGTTTTCAAGGGGGTCCTTTCTAGTTGATGGGTTTAGGGCCTTACGGGATATGTGGTTATCTACCCATATCTACCCTCTGGTAATTTAACTGTTTGCTATGGATCACCATTAATCACCATAAGTCATCATTCATCACCATTGTACTGGTCCATTTGTTTCATCCTTTGCACAGCTGTTGTGCTGAAGGATCCTGCCCTGGCTTTGGGAGCGCTATGCGGATGATCGTCGCTAAGCGGCACGGGTGGAACGTAGTTTTGATTGTCACAATATGTGAAGCATCAGAATCAAAAGTCACTTAAACTAGCCCAGGAATACATATAAGTTTGTCAATTTCATGTTTTGCACTAAGTTGTATAGATCACTTTTAAGGCTTACCATTCATTTGGCAAAAAACACCAGGAGAAAGTGTGGATTGACATCTCATACTCATAGTGGAATCATGTTTTTTTCCCGACTCTCTTTCACTTCCCGAGTAGTGTTCCTTTTTCCTAAGAAGCTGGGCGTCATTGTACTGCACAAATCTTGGGAAATTGTGGTGACTTGCAACACATATCTAGCGTACTGATCTGGAGAAATTTCAGCGACCTAGTGGCTGAAGAAACCCCACAAATGATGGTGAATGCTGTGGAAGCCTTCAAAAACCTGCATCATTGTGCATCATATTTTATAGTTGTTGGATGTTTTTGGTCAGTTCAGGTATGGCTGCTTGCATGACAATCTCGCTTGGAAAATTGTCATTCACCATGGTATCAACCCGTCTTTAGCCTGAGACAAAGGGAATGTCGATTCATGGGATGATCAGCAATGTCAGAAGAGGAACCGCACTGATTCGTTATCCTTGAGGTATTTTTTGTAAATCCGTTTGTTTGTTTGTTTATGTGTTTGTTTGTTTGCTTAAAAGCATCAGATTTGGTTGGTTGTAGGCAGGTGCATATTGCCCATGGGATTGCGTTTGGCAGTATCCCTCAATCCCAGATTTGTTTTGTTTTGTTTTTTGGGGAGTGAAATTTGCAGGACACATAGTTTATATATACTGTATATATATATAAGTATTGAATATATGTCCAAGTAAAAACAACGTGTCCCGTAGATGTTCACTTAGACTTAAACCAATCCATTGACCGACTCAACCTCTGGCTATGCCTATATGTTACCCAGGTCTTTTCTATCCCATCTACGCTGCGTGCGTGGAGTTAGATGTGCCCTTGTGCTTGCAGGCGCTGTTGGTAAAGACTGGGTAAACCTTGGTGAAATCGGAGCTTCAGAAAGGTCATTTTTGGTACATAGCCAGCATTAGCCAACCATAGCCAAGACATAAGTGCAAATGGCACTTGTTTGTGCCTGCTGATTTGCATTGTTTGTCCTAATTATGTGATTAACATCGTTTGAAAACAATACGACATATGCATTTGCATATATATATATATTATTCGTGCACATATGCATCTATGTAGTACAATTCTTGGTAAATCATTTCATAGCTACATCTCGGAGAATCATTCCAGCTCACCTTACGCCGTGCGTCAGGTGGGCCACACAGGCCCCCTGCGGCCCAGTGACTTCGGGCGACCCATTCCCCACCTGGAGCGGGTGCTGCTGGATTTCCCACAGCTGACGGTCGTGGGGGGCCACATTGGAGCGCCCTGGGTGGAGGAGATGATTTTTTTGGCCGGCAAGTTGCCTGGCCCAGCGAACTTGGGAACTTTATGTATGTTATGTTTTATATAACATTTTTTTTTATAGTAGAACATATTGGATATGAGTTTGAGTAATTTTTATGCAGAGAGAGAGAGAGGGAGAGAATGTTTTTACCTTAAACACAGTACACACACATACAAACATACACACATACACACATACAGACATACAGACATACAGACATACAGACATACATACAGACCTACAGAAATACAGACATACAGACATACAGACATACATACATACAGACAAACAGACAGACAGACATACATACACACATACACACATACACACATACACACATACACACATACATACATACATACATACATACATACATACTGCGAATGGAGTGTAGGCTACGGATCACTGCACACTCCCATATAATTCAGCTATTAATTGTCCACCGCCAAGGGGTGCATCAATCTGCTCCTTTGGCTCAAGATCACTGCAGGTGCCAAGAGAAAACGCCGCCATGCTGAAACTGCAATTCCCGCGTCGTCGTTGTTGAGAACATCAACCTCAAGATCAAACAACAGCACATAATCGGGGAGATAACCTCCGATTCACAGGTTATCAGCCGTAGGACTCCTACGGAGCCTACGAGCGGGTAGCCGCGGGCCTTACAGATGACTGAACAGGATAGCAGTGATAACGCATTTTCTTTCTCTGGACATGCCGTTGCACCAGCTGCCGGCACGCAGTCAAATTCTTCACAGAGTATCGACACTGGTGGAAGCGATGCCTCAGAACTGAGAACGAGCCTACCCAGGCGACCTCTGGTTGCTCCTAGAGGGAGACAAATTTCGACAATGCAAGCAATCGAAGATAGGGACAGCACACCTGGAAAGAGAAGATCATCTGCACGACAATTGTCGCCACCGATGACTCCAAGGACTAAGGCAAAGACTACGTCGTCGAATCCGCCTTCACCGATTCAGGACGCTACTCCATCAGGGACGGGATCTTATCAGCAAGTGAACGCCCCATCGAGTGGTAGCGACATCTTCACCGCTTATCAGAGTGAACTAGCTGAATACAAGACATCACTGGAAAAGGCCACTGAAGAAGAATCCGTACTTCAGGCAAGATTGGCCGAGACGACAGCATACGCCTATCAACAATTTAATTTCCTGGAAAGCACCACTCATCAAGAGATGACGTCGATGACCGAACAACTCCAGATGCTGAACTTCGAGTTACAGGCTGCACAACAAGAAGATGAAGGTGCGACCTACAGGATCGAAGAGTTGGAAAGGTATCAGACTATGTCGAATGAAGCTGCATCTCATTTGGAATTCAAATATTCACGACTACGTTCGGAATTCGATGAACAAATGGGACAAGCGAACGCAATTATGGTGCATGTGGGCGCTGATGCGAATGCTCACATCAATCAACTCAGACTGGAACTGGAAAACGCAGAGATGAATGCCAAGCAAGAAGCTCTAGCGGTCGGCTACGCTAACGACCAAACATGTGCTTTACAGATCGAGATGCTCGAGGTTGCCAATCAAAACCAGACAATGAAGCACACCATGGCCATGAACGTTAGACGACTGGAAACTGAGCTCGATGCTGCTGACATGAAGAGGGACGAGATCATGAAGGAGTTCCGTAGTAACATAAGATCTGAACATGACCGCTATGCAGAATGTGAACATTACTTAGCTTTGGAAGAATCGCAACTCAATGAAAGCTTACAATCTCGACTATCGATTTCTGAGAACAAGGTTTCTGAAGAATCTCTAGCTGAATCGAGTGGCATGCGGGACATGAGGATAATGGGACTACGTTCTGAACTACACATGAAACAAAGTTTTTTAGATCGAATGCAACAACAACTGACTGAATCGAAGAATCAGTATCATGAACTTTCCTGTCAACAAGCCAGAAGATCTCCACCAAGCAGATCACCGCATGGAGGACCACTATACGAGACGTATATGCAAGCCGTACGTGAGCGTGACAGCTTGAAGGAATCCAAGGCTGAAGTTGACAAGTTGTACTTGCAAAACCGAACTGAACTCATTGACACTGAGAACCTGCTCAAAACCTTCCAGCAACATTTCGATGAAACTGGTAAGAAGTATCAAGATGCTCTGAACAAGATCGATCACATGAGTAGCAATCCGAATGTGACGAGTAACTTGTTCGACAGTTTGCACAATGAAATCAATGACAGGGATACAGCCATTGCTCGCCTTCATACTGAACTTGAAGCCCAAAAAGACTCTCTTGAGCGTGCTCACAGGGATGCAGGTAAGTCCATCAAGATGTTGAACGACAGAAGACTCGTGATCAAAGGTGCGACTGACTATTCCATTCCTGAAAGCCACTTGACCGAGATGCATCAATTGGCTAATGAGCGTTTCGCTGAGGTAGAAGAGATGTCAAGCACCATCGCTGCCCTGAAGTTGGAAAACCAGGCTCATTCTTCTTCATCATTGATTAGGCCGACTACATAACATGGGTACCCCAGTAGTGCTATGCCTCGGAATGAATGTGAAGAGAAGTGTGCCAAACTGAAAGCAGAGTTGGACGAGATGAAGCAAGAGAGGAACACTGAAGTTCGAAATCTTCAAGATGAATTGAAGAAGATGGAAGATCGGAAAGATTATTACAAGAACAATTTCTCTCAAGCTGAAGATCGCGCCAACGATGAAGAGCAGGAATACCGAGCAGAAGCTGAAGCCTTCGAGAAGCTCAGGAACGAGTACAACACCAATGTCAAGGAGTTGGAGAACCTTGAGAGGGATAGATCCAAGTCATCCGTATCTCTAAGAGAAGCCGAAAAGATCAGCCTCCAACCCTGGCCTAAGACCACTGAACTTTCATCCTGGAAGGGAAGTGTTGTTCATGAAGTTTGTGTTGCAAGTGGAGATCGAAACTATGAAGATTGGAAAGCATGGCTAGCTCCGTGTCTTGCGGATCAACCTGACCTGGAGGCTCTGGCCAAAGCACCTGATGTGAGATTCCAATCCATTGATGCCAAGCTCTCCAACGCCTTGAGGAAAGTCATTGACAATGCTGGGGACAAGTCCATGCAAGTGAAGTATGACATGTCCATGAAGAACCAATTGTATGGGAGAAGTGGGGACTTCATCAAGGGACGAGAACTGTTCGCAATGATACTGATTAGTTTCAAGTCACCTGACCATACTGAAGTTCTCTACAACGCCCACCATTTGTATATGTTCAACTACTATGGAGATGACCAGCTTGAGGCCTTCTACAACAAGTGGCTTGACATCGTATACAATATGAAACATGATGATCTGCCTTCCAACAATTCCCTGCGTGATACACTGTTCCGGAAGATTGAACATTCAAAGCTTATGGCTTTTGATATCAACCGATACAAAACCTTTGATGAAGGGCATCCTGAGAAGACCTATGTTTATCTAACTGGTATGATCAAAGGATACATAGCAAGAGGAAAACAAGAACGACTGTTGAAAGATAGAGAACGTGCAGTGAAACTGTCATTGTCCTCTAACAAGACAACACCTGCTCTGGAAGATGCTGATAAGCCTGCTGCTCCCATTAAGACCAAGAAGGAGAATGAAGCGGCTGCATCGTCCACAGGTGATCCTCCCAAACGGCCTAAAGCAAAGGCGAAGAGTGAAGCTGCATCGGTACTTCCAACACCTTCTCCGAAGTCCCATGCCGACAAGAACAACAAGAAAGGCAAAGGTGGGAAGGGAAGATCATCTTCTCCCGTTGACAAGAAGAAGATTTTCTGTAACTACTTCTTCAATAAAGGAGGATGCAACAAAGGTGACAAATGTCTTTACAGTCATTCTCAGAAGGTCTATGATGCCAAGATGAAAGGTAAGAAAGGCAGAAGCGGAAGTCGAGATTCATCAAGGGGGAAAAGTAGAGGAAGTTCATCTTCAGCTGGACTCAAGAAGAAGATATGTTGGAATTGGCAAAAGGGTACCTGCACGTTCGGAAGCAAATGTAAATTCCTACATGCAGATCAATCGCCTTCAGCATCTTCAGAAAGAACCAGCAAGAAGACACCAAAGAAGAAAGCAACTCCCATTACCATTGACTCCTTCTTTGATAGCGACAATGAAGATTCTATGGATTATACCTCACCGAGGATAGCCAGCGCAAAGAAGTCTTCTGATGATCGCAGGATCTCTTTTGAACTGGAACCTGAAGTGCACGAGATTGCCATTGAGAACTACCAGGAGGGATTACCCAAGCGTATGTATCGTGACCCCAACAAGCAGTATGTCTTCTGGAAAGCCGATGATTTGACCGACGATCAGTCCAAATCCGACAACACCCTCGGTTCAGTCCGAGCACGGGCCAAAGCTATCATCATGGACAGATGTGGACCCCATCGTTTTGTTGATGAAGTCAGAATCATCATTGGCCCCAAGTTCGACATGTTGATCAAGCTGGACGATGATCGTAATGACTTGACTTTTACTGAAGAGCTTGTTGAACACGAAATCGGAAAATCCCTCATGAAGTCCAAGAACTTGATGTGCATTTCATTACCAGTACAAGCCAAAGATCGCAGATTCATCCTGGATTCTGGCAGCGGACACGATCTGATTTCTGCAAGGAAAGCCGAAAGGATGAACTTGAAGCAACGAACTTGTGATCCTATCATGTTCCACACCGCCAACGGTTCAACTGCTACTCAGACGGAAGCGGAGATTGACCTGGGAACCTTTGATGTGACATCTCATGCTTATGTACTGGACGACACTCCGTCCGTGATGTCTCTTGGGAAACGATGCATGGAAGAAGGATACTCCTTTGTATGGCCATCTGGTCAAATGCCTTTCATGATTACGAAGAATGGAGAACGCATCGATCTGACAATCCATGACAACATTCCCTACGTTGATCTTGGAACATACGAATGCACTCCTCATGAATGCCATCATGCATCGAAGATCCATGACCTATTGACACATTCTCAAGTCGGATTCAACGATTTCAACGACATTGATGA